TAATGTTGTCAATAGCGAAACCATGACTTTGGTGTAATGTTGTCAATAGCGAAACCATGATTTTGGTGTAATGTTGTCAATAGCGAAACCATGATTTTGGTGTAATGTTGTCAATAGCGAAACCATGACTTTGGTGTAATGTTGTCAATAGCGAAACCATGATTTTGGTGTAATGTTGACAGTAGGGAAAATATGACTTTGGTGTAATGATGACAATAGTGAAACCATGACTTTGGTGTAATGTTGTCAATAGTGAAACCATGACTTTGGTGTAATGTTGACAATAGTGAAACCATGACTTTGGTGTAATGTTGACAATAGTGAAACCATGACTTTGGTGTAATGTTGACAGTAGTGATACCATGACTTTGGTGTAATGTTGTCAATAGTGAAACCATGACTTTGGTGTAATGTTGACAATAGTGAAACCATGACTTTGGTGTAATGTTGACAGTAGTGATACCATGACTTTGGTGTAATGTTGTCAATAGTGAAACCATGACTTTGGTGTAATGTTGACAATAGTGAAACCATGACTTTGGTGTAATGTTGACAATAGTGAAACCATGACTTTGGTGTAATGTTGTAAGTAGTGATACCATGACTTTGGTGTAATGTTGTCAATAGTGAAACCATGACTTTGGTGTAATGTTGACAATAGTGAAACCATGAATTTGGTGTAATGTTGACAGTAGTGAAACCATGACTTTGGTGTAATGTTGACAATAGTGAAACCATGACTTTGGTGTAATGTTGTCTATAGCGAAACCATGACTTTGGTGTAATGTTGACAGTAGTGATACCATGACTTTGGTGTAATGTTGACAGTAGTGATACCATGACTTTGGTGTAATGTTGTCTATAGCGAAACCATGACTTTGGTGTAATGTTGACATTAGTGAAACCATGACTTTGGTGTAATGTTGACAGTAGGGAAAATATGACTTTGGTGTAATGTTGTCTATAGCGAAACCATGACTTTGGTGTAATGTTGACATTAGTGAAACCATGACTTTGGTGTAATGTTGACATTAGTGAAACCATGACTTTGGTGTAATGTTGTCAATAGGGAAAATATGACTTTGAGGTTGTGTTAACTTTTTATTTTCTCGTGTAGAAGAAGTATTGTAATAGTGCAAAAAATCGTTTTACACCGTCCTTAAAAAGAAAAAAAACCTAGTCTTGTCTGTGGGTATGTCTGTATGTGCATACCATTTCAGTTAGGGCACGAAACATAATGTACAAGTACAAGTATTATCCAATTGGTGAAGTGGTACTTCATTCTATTTCAGATTTATAAAAATACCGATAACTTGAGTGCCGTTTCAGTTAGGTGGACACAATTTCATAAATAAATAATAGATCTCTTAAGCTGTTTTCTTACATTTTTTGAGTGATTTCCAGAAAAGGGAAGTAGTATTTTATTCAACTTCAGCGTAGACACGATGATTTGAGTAAGTTTTCAGTTAGGCGGACGAAACTTCACGTACAAGTATTAGAAAGCTACATGTTCTTAAGGACTTTTCTTCTTTACATGGTGTCTCGCAAATAAGGGCCTTTTAATTCCTACGAACTTCTAATTTTTCTTTTCTTGATTTTGATTGTGTAATGCAGTCCAAAAAGAATTAATGTTTTTCTACCCTTTTGGTCGCCCTAGGGTTGGCCCTCAGTGGGGGGGGGGGGGGGGGAGGCTGCCAATCTAACCCTACCCCCACCCTAACCCACACTATTTAGATCCCTGTCTTGCCCTGTGTCTTGTACCACATATTCTGGCAGTGACTTGACTTGTCTCGTTTAAAAAACTAAATTTAGAAACATCGATTTTTGTATGTGACTTCACTTCCCCACCCCTCCCAAACCCCACCCATCTCCCTCCATGTGTCAGTACGAATCCGAAAAAACCCTAACATAGAAACAGAAGACAGGTCCTAATTACTTCAATCTTACATAAACATTAAATAACGTTATTTTTATTATGTTACTAATTATCTAATTATGTCTCAAGGTGGTGATGACCTCACGTGCCTTAAATTCTTCAAGTGCACATGGTAGCCCATGCAGTCCCCACCCCGCGTCTCCCCTCCCCCACCCCCCACTGCAATAGCAGTGGCGTAGCGAGGGGGGGGGGGGCGGGGGTGCGGACCGCACCGGGTGACACCATTTAGGGGGGTGACACCAAGTCAAAAAATAGCAAAATATATAGAGAAAAATGATAATTCCACTTAATTAAGTGATTAATTCGAGTGTTAAAAAGTCTTTTAAGAGCAAATTTGACAAATCCCTATATGGGTGGAGGGGAGGGAGTGCAAATCGAAAGTTTGAGGGAGGGGGTGGGGTGCAAATCGAAAGTTTGAGGGAGGGGGTGGGGTGCAAATCGAAAGTTTGAGGGAGGGGGTGGGGTGCAAATCGAAAATTGAAAGTTTGTCCCCGTTCGCCGGGAAGGGTCGCTACGCCTCTGGGGGGTGACACCATTAAGTGCCGCACCGGGTGACACCCGACCTCGCTACACCACTGTGCAATATTTAAATTTATGAACTAATTACGCCAAAACTGGACACCTTATATGAAGAGTCAGAGTCAGTGATGGGATAGTACTTTTACTGGCGTCTAAAAATTTATCTGAAACCCTTCTGGTCGTGTTTGTTCCCCCCGCCCCCTCTCCCTCCCCGCCCGAATACCTGACCCAAGACGGTCCTGCTGAAATGTATTTTTAATAAAAACAGAGAAACGCTGCTTCACCTATACAAAAGACTGCCAGGTCTAAAGGTACTTCGCAAAAGTCTCCTTTCTGCTCTAGCGTTGTTTTATTCTCGTTGTTTCCACATCACAAACTCCACACAAACCACACAATTCACACACCTCCAGCCATACAACCGTCAACCCACACAACCTCACATATTTCGCGAGGCCCAGCCACACAAACTCCACACAAACCACACATTTCACACACCCCAACCATACAACCGCCAACCCCACACAACCTCACATATTTCGCGAGGCCTAGCCACATAAATTCCACCCAAATCACACATTTCACACACCTCCAGTCATACAACCGCCAACCCCACACAACCTCATATATTTCGCGAGGCCCAGCCACATAAACTCCCCCCAAATCCCAAATTTCACATTCCCCCGACCTCGTACACAATTTTCGAACCGCTAAACATAAACACCTTTAAGTTTGTTTATGACTGTGCCACCCCCACCCCACTTCACCATAGAGCTGTGCTAATTGCGGCATGTTCTGTTTGAAGATTTGGTCCCATTTATCCTGGAACCATCATCACTCCACCCAGGCATGCTACTGTATTACTGAGCACTTGACTGATTTAATTTGTGCGTATGACTGTATTACTGAGCACTTGACTGATTAAATGTGTGCACATGACTGCGTTACTGAGCACTTGACCGATTAAATTTGTGCATATGACTGCATTACTTTGTGTACTTGACTGAATTTTTTATGCACATGACTGCATTAGATATTATGACTGCATTGCTTTGTGCACATTACTGCATTAGAGATTATGACTGCATTACTTTATGCATATGACTGTACACGTGATCCCATGACTTTAAGCACTTGACTGTATTTTTATGCACATGACTGCATTGCTTTAAGCACTTGATCTATTTACCTCGTGCACATGACTTAATTAATACAACTGGATTACATAGTGCATACGACTTGATTACAATGTGCACTTGACTGTATTTCATTGTGTATAAGACTGCATTATTTATCTGAGCAAAATTAGAGATCTATCAACCTTTTAACACCTGGAAAGTTTCGATCTTACTATTTTGATGGAAGTTATTATCAAGTCGTGTGAGAATGTTTTTAACCATCTAAAGATAAAAATGTACTACAAAAGAACCATTTGTATGTAGGTGATTATCGAAATACTTTAAAAAACTTTAAATCCTGAAATGGCATTACTCCAAGTGAGCTTTTTTAAAAAACAGATGAAAAGTTCAAAAATTGCAAAACTATTAATGTTGATTTGTTTGAAAGTTAACTGTAAGCAATGGTGTAATACACTCTACATTAGTGTAGATTTGTATACTTTACTGTATGTATATGTATGATTGTCATGCACTTTCGTGTACAGGTGCTTACATGTGTGTCCACAGGTGTTAACATGTGCGTCAACAGGTGTTTACATGTGTATCCACAGGTGTTTACATGTGCGTCAACAGGTGTTAACATGTGCGTCAACAGGTGTTTACATGTGTATCCACAGGTGTTTACATGTGTGTCCACAGGTGTTTACATGTGTATCCACAGGTGTTTACATGTGTGTCCACAGGTGTTTACATGTGTATCCACAGGTGTTTACATGTGTGTCCTCAGGTGTTTACAGGTGTGTCCTCAGGTGTTTACATGTGCGTCCACAGGTGTTTACATGTGCGTCCACAGGTGTTTACACGTGCGTAGGTTCTTGTATATATTTTAACCGCCAATGACAGAAAAATATGATCACATTATCTGACAGCTATTTTTAACCATTTTATACGAGTTAGAATTAGACGACAAAGTCGTAGAGACGTGGAAAAATTATACAGAAAACTCTATCCGTTCTTGGATGGTAAATCTTTATTCTTAACAGTGATATATCACAGCAATATTTTTGTTGGTGTCAAATCACACGGCTGACTGGTAAAGGAAGTCGAACGATTCTAAAAATTCCCTATATAATAGTCAGCTTTTAATTTTAATGCAATTAAGAAAAATAAAACTTGCTGTTCTTGATTGAGAAGCATTTGTTTCGTCATATTTTTTCAACTACACTTCATGTTAAAGCTTATTATTATGACGGTTTTTTAAATTTGTTTAATTGTGTACGATTAATTAACTCTAAATTGTTAAAAATTTTGAAAGGTGAAATGTTTAAGTTATTTTTTTTAATTTAAAACGATGCACTATTTGTTACTTAAAATATTTGCTTTCAAATCCGTTCAGTATCTGGTGATGTTGGACAATTATCTGCCCCTTATTAACGCCCTTTGTTGGTAAAAATATACGTAAACAGCAGCTCAACTGGCTGATCGATAGATTGCTTGTACTCAATCATGTACTTGACCATGTAATTGATCATGTACTTAATCATGTACTTGACCATGTAATTGATCATGTACTCAATCATGTACTTGACCATGTAATTGATCATGTACTCAATCATGTACTTAACCATGTAATTGATCATGTACTCAATCATGTACTTGACCATGTAATTGATCATGTACTCAATCATGTACTTGACCATGTACTTGACCATGTACTTGACCATGTAATTGTTCATGTACTTGACCATGTACTTGAACATGTAATTGATCGATTATCGATAAATTGCTTGTACTCAGTCATGTACTTGACCATGTAATTGATCATGTACTTAATCATGTACTTAACCATGTATTTGACCATGTAATTGATCATGTACTTAACCATGTATTTGACCATGTAATTGATCATGTACTTAACCATGTATTTGACCATGTAATTGATCATGTACTTAACCATGTATTTGACCATGTAATTGATCATGTACTTAACCATGTATTTGACCATGTAATTGATCATGTCATTGCCCATGTACTTGACCATGTAATTGATCATGTCATTGACCAAGTACTTGAACATGTAATTGATCGATTATCGATAGATTGCTTGTACTCAGTCATGTACTTGACCATGTAATTGATCATGTACTTGACCATGTAATTGATCATGTCATTGCCCATGTACTTGACCATGTAATTGATCATGTCATTGACCAAGTACTTGAACATGTAATTGATCGATTATCAATAGATTGCTTGTACTCAGTCATGTACTTGACCATGTAATTGATCATGTACTTGACCATGTAATTGATCATGTACTTAATCATGTACTTGACAATTTATATTTATAAACCTATTCTCTAGACGGTCGTTTGTATCCCTATTATCTAGACTAACATGTGTAGCCCTATTATCTAGACTAACATGTGTAGCCCTATTCTCTAGACTGACATGTGTATACCTATTTTCTAGACTGACATGGGTAGCCCTATTATCTAGACTAGACTGAGATGTGTAGCCCTATTACCTAGACTGACATTTATTGGGGATTGCGCGGACTAGTGAATGGAGAGAAACCATTAAAATTAGGCATGTACAAACTGCTCCTTGTTATGCTCCCATTTTTTCGCTGCTGACATCGATTGTTCGATTCACAGATTCTCGGTCGTTTTTAGACGTAAATTTTAACGTGTGTGAAAACTCTGGGTGTAAAACACTCCTGGGTCAATCACTCCTGGGTCAATCACAACTGGGTCAATATCTCCTGGGTCAATCACAACTGGGTCAATCACTCCTGGGTCAATCACTCCTGGGTCAATCACAACTGGGTCAATCACTCCTGGGTCAATCACTCCTGGGTCAATCACAACTGGGTCAATCACTCCTGGGTCAATCACAACTGGGTCAATCACTCCTGGGTCAATCACAACTGGGTCAATCACAACTGGGTCAATCACTCCTGGGTCAATCACTCCTGTGTCAATCACTCCTGGGTCAATCACTCCTGTGTCAATCACTCCTGTGTCAATCTATTCAGTGTTGAAAACCCCCTAAAACTCTCTAATTGATCAAACTATATACTTCAAATAATGATTCCTAACTCACTTTATAATGTAAATACTTTCACCACCAATGTGTAACAGTGTGTATACTAATGTAACTAAATACTTTCACCACCAATGTGTAACAGTGTGTATACTAATGTAACTAAATACTTTCACCATCAATTTGTAACAGTGTGTATACCAATGTAACTAAATACTTTCACCACCAATTTCTTACCGTGTATACTAATGTAACTAAACCGTCCAATACAAGCGAGACCCCAGATGTGCACCAGATGAACAATGAAACAAATACACAACCAAACTAGACTGTTTAAATGTTGCTGTTTGCTAAGACTGCTAGTAATAAAAGAGAGTACTTTTAAGTCCGAGACTGCTGGAGTAGAACTAGCAAGGAACAAATATATTACTTATTGTTATCATCGTTTGTCTTAATTGAGCAGTTAGGAAAACAATTTAAGTTTTTTTGCTCCCCAGAAAAAAAACAATTGGGAATAACCTCTTCCGCCCCCGCCCCCCGCCCAACATATCCAATGTGTTAGAAAACTGCGCTTAACCTCCGCTCCCCAACACAACTTCCGTGATATAAGTTACCTGGACACCCCCCCCCCCCTCCTCATACTGAGTGAGGTTTATTTAAATACAAGTTATACGTTGAAGAGTTTGTTTTCCATTATCTTCCATTCGTATAACGTTTTTATTTTTGTTTTAAAAAACAGTAGCTGATTTGTTTGTTTTTTATTTTTTTATTTCGTTTTAATGAAACAAAAGTAGAAACATTCTAATTTTAATATAGGATATGTTAAACATTCTTATCAGCGTATGATGCTTGTGATATATTTGTTTTGTGATTTTTTTGTTTCCAATCTTGGTGAGCATGTAATTAATGTTAATATTCGTTGATATACTTATGGCCAATTCCTTTAATTTGAGCTTTGGAGTCACACTGCAAAGAGGGGGGGGGGGGGGGTCGGAATTTTATGATCATGTGTGACAAGGGAGGGGGGGGGGGGTCCAGAAAGTGTGAGACACATTTTTGAATTTAAAAAAAGTAATGTCAGAAAGTGAATTTTTGACTTTGTTTCGCGTTTTTTTAAAAGGCACTTTATGTAAATTGTAATAGAAATGGATTCATGATTTCAGTATTGACCGAGCTCAGAATATATTTTTAAAAAGAAATCGATGTTTTAAAAACTAAAACTGCACATTTTCAGGGGGTGGATGTAGACTAAGGTTAGACGTCATTTGAAAGGGGGGGGGGGGGTCTCACGTTTAGCGACGATGTATGCTTTATGACAATGGGGAGAGGGGAATGTAAAAATATTCGAAAAAGGTTGTCGTTATTTATTGATGTTCCTTTTGTTTTAGTTACGTGTTTATAAAAAGTATTTATATAAAAAAATATTCTTTATTTATTTAGTATTTTTAAAATATTGGCCCAGCATAATCCAATCCTGTTCAGAATTAAATGTAACATTTCCGAAAAAGAAAAAAAAGGGGGTCGCTGAAACGAAACATTGAGAACCGCTGCTCCAGCATTAAAAGTCAGTTAACTGGGCTCAGCTGTTGTCTCCGCCACAACAATAGTTTCCCCCACACGGGTAGTCTCCCACACAGTGCGTACACCACTCTGTGTGTACCCCTCTCCTGCTTGTGTACTCCCTCGTTTTGCGCTCAAGTCATTCATTTCAAAAACTGGGTTACATGATCAAGGTAAGATGGAATCTAGTTTTCTGAACTCGTTGTTTACTCATCTGCCTTTTCGAGGGCTATTTGTTGCTAGTATTATTTTACATTTATTTCTATTGATTTATTTCTTTTCTGTTTTTTTTGTTTATTATTATTTAAGATTGTCTTTTACATTTAGATTTATTACTTATATACTTATTGTTATTTTCGACTTTGTTCTTATTTTTATTGAATTTTCTGTTGTTTTTCTGTTCTTTTCATTCAATTGGTATTTTGTAATTTTTTTTTAGTATTATTATTTTCTTTTATTGTATTTTATTTTCTATGGCTACTTTCTGTTGCTACTTTCTATTTAGTCTACTGCTGTATTTAGTATTTTTTTCAGTAAATACATTTTGTCATTCTATTTTTCTTTATTTGTCTATTGTTAATTTTTTTTGTTATTTACTGCTTTTCTAATACTAATTTCGAATACTCTGTAATAATATTTCACATTGTGCTTATTTTCATTTTCATATTAAATTGTACTGTTCTTTTGCATTGTTAATTTATATTATTCGGCCTTTAAACTAAAGATTTTTCTACGGATATTTTTATTGTGTTCTTTTTCTCCAAATTTTATTTTCTCATATAAAAAGTGTAGAGTATTGAAATCGTGCAAAAAAAAAAATTCAAATGAAATTTGACAATTTTCGCCGTTTTACACCCCTTTACTTTATGGAGAAAATATTGTAATTCAACAAGACATTGAAATCCATTTGACGATTGTTGACGTTTTACAAAGTCTAGAGTCGAAAAATTTTTGTTTAACAATTTTATCTGTATGTCTGTGTGTCTATAAAAACACGATCCGTTGAGTACCGAAATTTCACATTTAATTATTACATTGTTTGCGCAGGTTTCCGTCAACTTTGCAACGTTTTATGTAAACCGGAAGTGGTACTTTATTTCCGTGGGAACACGATAAACTTGAGTATAGTTTCAATTAGGTAGGCGACATTTCTAATATGACTATGAGATCTTATACTTAGATTACTTTTCATTGTTGAGTGACCTCGTACATATGGAAGCAATGCTTTACTCTATTTCTGGTTTCTAAAATAACAATAACATTAATACAGTTTAAGTTAGGTGGAAGAAATTTCATGCATAAGTTCATGTACGTACATTTTAGTCAACTTTTGAGTGATTTCCGGTAATAGGTGTAGGAGTATTTTATTCTCGTTCCGATTTCCAAAAAAACATTCAGAAATCGATAATTGTACATCATATTCTCACCAAGTATTTTGTGAGAACTTTTCGCCTCTGTGTGGTTTTTCAATAAATGAGCAGTTTTGTCACAAACATCTACATTTCTAAAGCCTGATTTCATTGGAAGAGCCACCCCAACGCTTAATGTTACATAAGAGTGTACGAGAAAGTTTAATTTTAATTTTGTTATAACTTTCAATTGTTTCGGTGTTTACCTGAACCAGTTTTCAAGTTGTTGTTTTTATATGTCTTGTTAATCCAGTGTAATTTATCGATCTAACGTCGAGCGCTTGACCCTATTCTGTCGTTAGATTTTTTTTGTCTCGACTGTTGAAATTTCCATTTTTTTTTTAACGCTTGGCATTGATTTTGTATGCACGGTTCTATTTTCCATTACAGAATGTGCGCATATTTTGTAACCCAAAAATATAACATTTTATATCACCCGCTAGAACATAAATAGTTAAATATAATTTTATTGCAAAGCTTAACATCAAGTTAAATGAATACTTTAAAAAAGCAAAAGTAATTATGCAAGAAAGGGGAAATTTTGAAATGTGTAATGTTATATAACACTGCTCTATAGAACCCATTCAGTATACCACTGAATATAATAACCCCATCCAGTATAACACTATAGCACACCCACCCTGTATAATACCATAGCACACTAGCACACCCACACAGTATAACACTATAGCACCCCCACTCTATGTAGCACCATAGCACACTAGCACACCCACCCAGTATAACACTATACACCCCCACTCTGAGTAGCACCATAGCACCCCGACCTGTTTAATACCATAGCACACTAGCACACCCACCCAGTATAACACTATAGCACCCCCACCCTGTACAACACCATAGCACACTAGCACACCCACCCAGTATAACACTATAGCACCCCCACTCTATGTAGCACCATAGCACACTAGCACACCCACCCAGTATAACACTATAGCACCCCCGTCCTGTATAACACTATAGCACCCCCACCCTGTATAATACCATAGCACACTAGCACACCCACACAGTATAACACTATAACACACCCACACAGTATAACACTATAGCACCCCCACTCTATGTAGCACCATAGCACCCCCGACCTGTACAACACCATAGCACCCTGTACTAGCTCACGCACCCAGTGTAACGAAATAAAACCAAATGATTTCAAGGGATCATGAGTACACACCATACAAACTCTACACAGTTTGTACACACCACACACACTCTACGCAGTTTGTACACACCATACAAACTCTACACAGTTTGTACACACCACACACACTCTACGCAGTTTGTACACACCATGCAAACTCTACACAGTTTGTATACACCATACACACTCTACGCAGTTTGTACACACCATACAAACTCTACACAGTTTGTACACACCACACACACTCTACGCAGTTTGTACACACCATACAAACTCTACACAGTTTGTATACACCACACAAACTCTACACAGTTTGTATACACCATACACACTCTACACAGTTTGTACACACCATACAAACTCTACACAGTTTTTACACACCATACAAACTCTACACAGCTTGTACACACCAACATATAAAGCACACCAAACAACATCTACACACCGCTGTCAGAACTGAGTTCACCTAGTACACACCTAGTACACACCTAGTACACACCGCTGTCAGAACTGAGTTCACCTAGTACACACCTAGTACACACCTAGTACACACTAACCCCCAAAGGTTAGTGCTACACACTGACATCTGCGAGTCCAGTCACCAACAAACAAAACGACAGCCAAAAAAAAAAACTCCACCAACCACCCAATTCCCAAACGAGGTGGTATTATCTCCTGAAATTAAAATTGACATTTGGAAAGTTTTCCACGGGGCTAGGTTTGCTACAGGCGTTGGTGACTGCCACTGAGGTGCCACGGAATCATGATTGTAGGTGTCATGGTATCATGATTGTAGGTGTCATGGTCTCATGATTGTATGTGTCATGGTGTCATGATTGTTGGTGACATGGTATCATGATTGTAGGTGTCATGGTATCATGATTGTTGGTGTCATGGAATCATGATTGTAGGTGTCATGTTATCATGATTGTAGGTGTCACGGTATCATGATTGTAGGTGTCATGGTCTCATGATTGTATGTGTCATGGTATCATGATTGTAGGTGTCATGGTATCATGATTGTAGGTGTCATGGTCTCATGATTGTAGGTGTCATGTTATCATGATTGTAAGTGTCATAGTATCATGATTGCAGGTGTCATGATATCATGATTGCTGGTTAACCGTCACAGTTTCAGTTCGGTATATCATCTCCTCCACCCCCCCCCCCCCCTCAAACACACAAGCAGATTAACATACGCATAATTATCATTGTTAAGATCCGTAATGACAAGTACATTGTAGAGATCAGCACAGCTCCGCCCCAGTCATTGTGGAAGTACAATAGTGTTGAATATCCTATGCTGAACACGAGGGGGGGGGGTATCGTGCACACTGCACAGTAATGGTCGTGCACAGCAGGGGTCATGCAGAGTCGGGATCGTTCACAGTAGGGGTCGTACACAGTGGGGTTCGTGACACTGCACAGTAGGGGTCAAGCACATTAGGGATAGTGTACAGCAAAGGCCGTAAAAAGTAGGGGTCGTGCAAACTGTATAGTAGGGGTATTACACATTAGGGGTCATGCAGAGTCGGGATCGTTCACAGTAGGGGTCGTACACCGTATGGGTCTTACAAAGTAGAGGTCTTACACAGTAGGGGTCATGCAGAGCCGGGATCGTGCAAAATAGTGGTCGTACACCGTAGAGGTCTTACACAGTAGGGGTCTTACACAGTAGGGGTCATGCAAAGTCAGGATCGTTCACAGTAGGAGTCGTACACCGTAGGGGTCTTACACCGTAGGGGTCTTACACAGTAGGGGTCTTACACAGTAGGGGTCATTCAGAGTCGGGATCGTGCACAGTAGGGGATCGTGCATACTGCACAGAAAGGGTCTTGTACAATAGGAATCGTATACAGTAGGGCAGTTACAGCACATTTCACCCCATTATACAAAGCATAACCTATCTTTACTTTACTTTACTAACTTATCAACACTTGTTACGTTCGTCCTTTTTCTTCTTTGGAGTTTTATAGAAAGAAGTATTTTCATATATTTGCATATAGGTGTTCAGCTTATAAGGGCAACATTGGTTTTTATTTTATTTTTATTTTTGAGTGAAACGTTTGATGTCGCTGATGTATGCTCTAAGCTCGGCTGTGAACTGGAGTATATAAACATGAATGTTGAACATGTGATAGGCAGACAGCGGGCGGGTCTTTTGTAGTGGGTGTTGTGTGGGGTAAGGGTTGAGTGGGATTTGTTTTCCTTTATGTTTAGTTTTTAAAATAAAACAGTTTTAAAAATTAGTATTTTAAATAAGGTTATGAAATAAATAAACATTTTAAATAAGAATAATCTTTATAATATTGTAGGACTTCATCTGGTTATCAGTTATCTCCCTTGCCTGTTTGTACTTATTAATGGGAGGTAATTAATAAATATATATTATACTTAAAGTATATCAAACTTTGGCATGCTATCTAGCAAAAAAAAAAATTAAATTAAATTAAATTAAAACTTTAAAAATGAAAATCCACAGATACCTAGATATAAATGTATACAATTATGATAATGATGGGTGGGGGATGGGCAGTTAAAGTCCTCTCATACAATGTTTAATTACAACGATGTAATCACAACATTAATACTGGAAGAATTGCTGATTTACTGTAAGTATTTTTTTAAAGGTTTACTAGAATAGCAACTTCAGCAACTGTCTACACCAGAACAACTGACCCCTCACCCAGCACCATCGACCCCTCAACCAGCACCATCGACCCCTCACCCAGCACCATCGACCCTTCAACCAGCACCATCGAACCCTCACCCAGCACCTTCGACCCCTCACCCCCGGGACATGTCTGCCAACATTCCCGGAATCGTCGCTGTCGTCATCTTTTATATCATCATCCTGGTCGTCGGGATTGTGACCGGCAGAAAAACCGGCAAAAGTTTGTCCAATGAGGCGGTGCTTGTGGCCGACCGGAAACTGGGGCTCTTCGTCTCCATCTTCACCATGACAGGTAGGTCAAGGATGTTTATTTTTAGAACAGGTAGGTCAGGGAGGTTTATTTTTAGAACAGGTAGGTCAAGGATGTTTATTTTTAGAACAGGTAAGTCAAGGATGGTTATTTTTTGAATAAGTAGGTCAGTGAGGTTTATTTTTAGAGCAGGTTGCTAATGAGTCTCATCTGGGTGCATCGTCACTGCATGTTTTCAGCGAAAACACACCGAATAAAAGTTTCCCTACGCCATGTTTTCCAACAAAACGGTGATCTACAAGACAGATTTAATTGATATGGCCGCTAATGTACGTTGATGATATTTTGGCCCGTTTGCCAGTAACGTGTCACAATATTGTAACATCTCATGTGCTGTAACTTATCACAATATTGTAACTTGTTATATTATGGAAAACTATCAACTATTATACGTGCGATACTAAAATCGTTACAGTTCAGAATTGAAAACTGGATCTCTTTAAAAAAAAAAAAAAAACCTCGTTATACCCGTGTGTACTGAGATCTAACGATGTGTTCTGATTAACATCCCGCCTGATTACCCGTTATAAAAAAACCACTAACACAACTACCATGCGTAGATCGCTACAAAGGGTTGGAGCCAGTCAACTGGATGCTATCACTTCCATGGCTTGCGCTGGATCTACCACAGGGGTCTCCAAACTTTTCCGTCCGAAGGCCGCATTAACTATCAAATTTCAGTTCGGGGGCCAGTTTCTTCCAGACATGTCTTTGATTTTTCTGGGCGCATCCGGCCCGCGGGCCGTAGTTTGGAGACCCCTGATCTACCATACCGAAGACACTATTGAGGGCAAATTTAGATCACATCGCCGACTTCTTTTCCCCAAAGCCTTTGATCGGCTGTAAAAAAAAAATCAACACTTCATAAACTGGGTTCAAACAAAGCGTTAGGATAAGTTATGTAATATTTTACTGCTATATGTTTTCTGGTCTGTAGTTACTCTTAGTCCGTTGTGTGTTTTTTTTCGTATGTAGCAGTTTTCGTGAATATTTTGTTCCAACACTCTCCGGAATAATTCAGTCGCAACTCATTGTTTAAATAAAAAATACATTATTATCTGTTCTCTTTATCGATAGCCTACGTGGCCAAGTTAATCAAGTAAGCGATAAAATATGTAAACCTCACAGCAGCCTGCATTTTTTATTTGAAGTATATAAGCATCAAATCAAAAGTTCACCCTCAATATTCTATCTATCGGGTAGCCTGGACTGTTTGGTATTCTGGAAGTTTAAATTGACATTTTGGCTCCATTTCTCTCTCCTCAGTTATCTATTTTCTCACCTGTCCAATTTTAAAAAATAATCTTTCCTCCGTGTACACTTAATTAATGCCAGACCCATTCATTCTTTGATTTTACTCCTACCAGTCTCCGCCCCCCCCCTTCTCCCGGAAAATTTAGTCCACCCCCCCCCCCCCCCCCCAAAAAAAATGTAAGTCCCCACTCCCCCTCCACTAGAGAAAAAACGGAAAGAAACACCGATGACGCTGTATCCAGTGGGTTCATTTTAATCGGGAGCAACTTGTCAGGGCCATTTATTACTTAGCCTATCTAACTAATTTTTTCCGCAACCCCAACAGTCATAATTTTTAAAATAGATCCTCGTTTAAAGTTATCATTATGGTTTGTTTTTCTTCATTAGCTAAATATTTTTTTAAAATATTGCAACAGCGACGATGGTAGGAGGGGGCTACATCAACGGGTCGGCCGAGTCAGCAGCTTATTCGGGAGTTCTGTGGACACAGGCACCTATAGGCTACTGCCTGGCTCTCTTCGTGGGTAAGTAACGACTTCTTTCTGGCGCTCTTCGTGGGTAAGTAACGACATATTTCTGGCGCTCTTTGTTGGATAAGTAACGATTTCTTTCTGGCGCTCTTCGTGGGTAAGTAACGACTTCTTTCTGGCGCTCTTTGTTGGATAAGTAACGACATCTTTCTGGCGCTCTTCGTGGGTAACGACTTCTTTCTGGCGCTCTTCGTGTGTAAGTAACGACTTTTTTCTGGCGCTCTTTGTGGGTAAGTAACGACATCTTTCTGGCGCTCTTCGTGTGTAAGTAACGACTTCTTTCTTTTGCTCTTCGTGGGCAAGTAACGACTTTTTTCTGGCGCTCTTCGTGGGTAAGTAACGACATCTTTCTGGTGCTCTTCGTGTGTAACGACATCTTTCTGGCGCTCTTCGTGGGTAAGTAACGACTTCTTTCTGGCGCTCTTCGTGGGTAAGTAACGACTTCTTTCTGGTGCTCTTCGTGTGTAACGACATCTTTCTGGCGCTCTTCGTGGGTAAGTAACGACTTCTTTCTGGCGCTCTTCGTGGGTAAGTAACGACTTCTTTCTGGCGCTCTTTGTGGATAAGTAACGACTTCTTTCTGGCGCTCTTCGTGGGTAAGTAACGACTTTTTTCTGGCGCTCTTCGTGGGTAAGTAACGACTTCTTTCTGTCTTAGTTCTGGTTAGGGTTTGTAATTGATCACATTATAATTTCTTTCTGCCCTAATTTAGCAACTATGGCTTAATATTAACGGTAATAGGTAGGTAGGTAAGTAGATATTGCTTTGCTTGGGGACTTTTAAAATTTTAGCTCAGTTAATATTCAGGTTATCAGTAAATCAAGTAACAGGTTCGTTCTGCTAAAGTAAAGGTAAAAGTAAGTAAAGGGATTGTGTAGTCAGCATTATGCCCAGTTGCCTTTACGTGAGTCGAGTTAACATCATAATTGGGTGGGTTTATAGACGTTGTACGGACTACAACCCGCATTCTAACATTAACATTTTCAGGTTAGATATAGTAAATTTTGACGTTCAACACTGTCGTCCTATAGTAGAAATGTAGTAAGTTAAGTTCCTGACTGTCTAAGAGGCAAGTGAAGTAGAGTTCACTAGTTTCTGTGACCTCGGCATATGAAGAGATAGTGTAGTCAGCACTATGCCCAGCCGCCTTTACTTTCCCTAACGTGAGTTGGGTACCCATCAGAGTTGGGTGGACTCGGGGACGGTCTACTGATTTTAGCCCGGAATCGAGCTCGAGACTTACGGGTTAGTAGTCTAGCTCTCTACCGTTAGACCACTCCGTAGAGCTTAATTTTAGCTATGATAACAAGTAAATCTCATTTGGCTCAGTGAAGATTAAGGTTGGTAGTTAATCTCATAAATTTCCACATGGTGCAGCGTGGTCAAACAGCAGACCTCACGCAAACTAGTCCATAAATCTTGAGTTCGGATACTGAGTTGGCGTATGTAAGAGGTTACTAAAAATATCCCCAGCTTGCAAGTATAACTGACAAACATCAGGATGCAGGACTGATAATACTTGTCTACATTATAACTCTACTTCATCTGCCCTATAGACCGAAGGGGAATCTACATTACTTTCATAAACATCGTCAGTACTGTAAAATGATTTTGGGAGTTTTTTTTTTACATCGTCATACACAAGCACGATTCCTCACTGCATGTCGGCGATTGTGTATACACATTTTTAATGTCTTTTTTTAAAACACCTGAACAGGTGGGTTTTTCTACGCTCCTAAGATGAGGGAGGAAAATTACATCACAATGTTTGACCCTTTCCAACTTAAGTACGGCAAGAAGGTCGGGGCCCTGTTGACCATTCCACAGTTTCTGGGGGATCTGTTTTGGTCGGCTGCTGTCCTGTCTGCTTTAGGTAAGTATGTGGTCAGCTGATGTCAATTACAGATTTAGTTATAACTTTGGTTTGAGCTGTTGTTAGTTTGCTTATACCATTTACTACGCTTGCTTCCAACAACTATCTGTGGTTTAATCTGTCTGCTTCACCTACCTGCCTGTTTCAATGATGGTTTTTCCTTCCTATCAGTTTTTAACAGCTAGTTGTTTCACCCGCCTGTTGTTTCATCTGTCTGTTTCACTTGGCTGTTGCTTCACCTGCCTATTGTTTCACCTGCCTGTTGTTTCATCTGCCTGTTATTTCACCTGCCTTTTGTTTCTCCTGTCTGTTGTTACACCTGCTTGTTGTTTTACCTGCTTGTTGTTTCTCCTGCCTGTTGTTACACCTGCTTGTTGTTTCACCTGCCTACTGTTTCACCTGCCTTTTTTCACATGCCTGTTGTTTCACCTGCCTGTTGTTTCATCTGCCTGTTGTTTCACCTGCCTACTGTTTCACCTGCCTGTTTTCCATGTCCGTTTCACCTGTCTGTTTCGCCTGCCTGTAGTCTCACCTGCCTGTTGTGTTTACCTGCTTGTTGTTTCACCTGCCTGTTGTTTCACGTGCCTGTTGTTTCACCTGCCTGTTGTTTCATCTGCCTGTTGTTTCACCTGCCTATAGTTTCTCCTGTCTGTTGTTTCACCTGCCTGTTGTTACACCTGCCTGTTTCACCTGTCTGTTGTTTCATCAGCCTGTTGTTTTACCTGCCTGTTTCACCTGTCTGTTTCACCTGCCTGTTGTTTCATCTGCCTGTTGTTTCACCTGCCAGTTTTTTTTACAATTGCCTTTTTGTTTAACCTGCCTGTTGTTTCACCTGCCTGTAGTCTCACCTGCCTGTTGTTTCACCTGCCTGTTGTTTCATCTGCCTGTTGTTTCACCTGCCTGTTGTTTCACCTGCATGTTGTTTCATGCTATGTTGTTTCACCTGCCTGTCGTTTCACCTGCCTGTTGTTTCATCTGCCTGTTGTTTCACCTGCCTATAGTTTCTCCTGTCTGTTGTTTCATCAGTCTTTTGTTTCACCTGCCTATTGTTTCACCTGCGTGTTTCACCTGTCTGTTTCACCTGTCTGTTTCACCTGTCTGTTTCACCTGCCTGTTTCACCTGCCTGTTGTTTCACCTGCCTGTTGTTTCACCTGCCTGTTGTTTCACCTGTCTGTTTCACCTGTCTGTTTCACCTGTCTGTTTCACCTGCCTGTTTCACCTGCCTGTTGTTTCACCTGCCTGTTGTTTCACCTGCCTGTTGTTTCACCTGCCTGTTGTTTCAGGTGCTACCATCTCCATTATCCTGGACATGAGCTCCACCCTGGCCATCATCTTATCCGCGGCCGTGGCCATCCTGTACACATTCACGGGTGGCATGTACGCAGTGGCGTACACTGACGTCATACAGCTCATCTTGATTGCCATCGGCCTGGTCAGTTGATTTTTTACTTAAGGGTCGTATGCTGGGGACAGTCCAGAACACGTGACTTTTGGGGTCGTCTGCTAAGGACAGTCCAGAACACGTGACCATCGATTTGTGACTACAAAGTCAAGCTGTAAAACACACACTCGCTAACCCAAGTTCAGTACCCAGTCTCAATATCACAAGTGCTTCATTTTCCGAACTGAACCCATATGGCAATTATGTAGTGCGATACACCGGATGTGGAGAGAGAAAGAGAGAGAGAGGGGGGGGGATAGAGAGAATTTGCACGGGTCCAGTGGTTGGCATTACAAATCATAATCCTACATTTTTCATCTTCTTGCCGTCTGTCTTTTGAGTGTAGCGTGAAAGATCATTGATCGTATAAGACATTCACTACAGTATTTCTTTTTAGTGTATTAGATATTCCATCAGTGTTTCTTCCAGACTTTTTTCTTGGGGGGTGCACTTGATATTTTCGGGGGATGGGGGCGGACACTGGTAAAAGTATATTTTCTATATAAATTCCATTTCTTTCGATGGGGGGGGGGGGGGGGGTAGACTTTCATGGAGGGGGGGGGGGGAAGATGCCTGGAATAAACACTGTTTTCCATGACGTATTTTTTGTTGAGTGTAAAAAGAGAGTGAGTTGAGTGTACAACTCAGTGAATGCAACATGTCGTCCTCTCCATGACAGATCATAGCGTTCCCCTTCTGTCTGGCACACCAAGCAGTGGACCTGACAACCGTGAGTGGCAGGTGGCTAGGTGAGGTCCCCACGTCATCAATCGCCAGCTACATAGACATCTACCTGCTGTGTATCATGGGGGGTATCCCCTGGCAGGTAGGTTGACACCTGGTTGGTAGGTTGACACCTGGTTGGTAGGTTGACACCTGGTTGATAGGTTCATCTGCACAAACGCACGTGCAATGACACATACACATGCGCATAAATCTCGCTGGATAGTAAACACTTTATTTGTGTGCCCGATATTTTACGTGTATTGTACTTTAAAAACACGATGGGTTGTCCATAAGGGACAATAGACTCATTGTTGGGGGGGGGGGGGGTGCTGGACTTTTATGAAGATGTTTGCGAGGAGGGATGGGGGGCTAAAACATTGTGAGGTGTGATGGTCATAGAATATTTCAGAAATTCTTATTTAATATTGGTAAGTTAGGAGGGGGGGGGGGGGGTAGGCGAAAGTTTGACGCCGTTTTGTGGGGGAGGGGTTCGACTTTTTATAACAATATCAGACCTTAGGCTAAACATCGGCAAGCTAAATCTGTCATTTGAAAGCATCTCTGAATTATCGGCTAAATTTTCATACCATAATCTTCACTAGATAAATAGGTAAATATCTTCAACAATACACTATTTTTTATCATACTTTTAAAATTAAAGTTGTACATGTAATTATATAACATATTAAATTATAAATTGCAAAACATGATCTTCTAAAGACGATTAATAAAGCAAGATTTTAAAAAAAATAATGTAGTTATGTCAAATGTATTTATTGTGAAATAAATCAATTCTCTGGAACTAGGAGCGTGATCAAGCTCATGTTTTGTTCTACAGTCTTTCTTCCAGAGGTCGCTGGCCAGTCGAACTGTCCACATCGCCAAGTGGTCAGCACTCATTGCTGGGGTCTTCAGCATGTCCATGGCCATCCCTCCCATGATGATGGGCATAGCTGCTTCAGCCACAGGTGACAATATGTTGGTCTTTGTCACAATCAGGAAAATATAGGGCTCATAATATGCATAGATAAACATACTTACACACATATGCACATTTTTAAACACACACATAATATATATATATATACATAGTATATATATGTACATATATATGTATATATATACAGATATGTACATAGTATATATATATGTATATATATATATATATATATATATATATATATATATATATATATATATATATATATGTCTCTCTCTATATATATATGTATATATATGTATATATATATATATATATATATATATATATATATATATATATATATACATACATATAAATATATATATTTATTTATATATATATATATACATATATATAATATATTTCAACATATATGTATATTATATATGTGTGCCCATGTATTTATATGTATGTAAATATCAACATCTATGTGTATAAATGTGTATGTGTAATTAAATAACGTTTCTGTAGCACCCTATGATAAGCTAAGACTTTATTGTGTCTGCTCATAGACTGGAACCTTACTACCTACGATGACGAGATCCCAATTCCGGAAGACCGGAAACGGTTCATCCTGCCCATAGCCCTGAGCTACCTGACGCCACTTCCTGTCAGCATCATTGGGACGGGCGCCATTGCTGCTGCCGTCATGTCGTCTGCTGACTCGTGTATTCTGGCTTCCAGCTCTGTCTTCACCTGGAACATCTACACGGAGATCCTCAGACCAAAGGTAACTTTTCCAGTAGTATAAAATCCTCAGACTAAAGTTAATTATTCCACCAGTATAAAATCTTCAGACCAAAGGTAATTCTTCCACCAGTATAAAATCTTCAGACCAAATGTAACTTTTCCTCCAGTATGAAATCTTAAGATCAAAGGTAATTCTCGTAGCAGTATAAAATCTTCAGACCAAAAGTAATTATTTTAGCAGTATAAAATCTTCGAACCAATGGTAACTTTTCCACCAGTATAAAATCTTCAGACCAAATGTATTTCTTGCTCCAGCATACAATCTTCAGACCACTGGTCACTATCCAGCATAAAAAATACGTTGCACATTTTACTTGTGGTGATATTTAAAATTCTAAAATCTTAAAATAGGATAAAATTTAAACTTTGACCTCTCTCCCAAAGGCCAGTGAACGAGAGCTGATGTGGGTTCTAAGAATAGCCATTCTTGTGGTCGGCGTCTTGGGCAGCGCCATCGCCATCTTCTCCACCACCATCTACGGCCTGTACCTCATGTGCTCCGACCTCATCTACGTCGTCCTCTTCCCCCAGCTGACCCTCGTCCTCTGGATGCCCAAATCAAACTCCTACGGCAGCGTCGTCGGTTTCTTCGTCTCCCTGTTCCTCCGCCTGCTCAGCGGCGAGCCGGTGATTCACCTCCCCGCTGTGATCAAGTACCCTTACTACGACGAGGTCAGACAGGAGCAGTTGTTTCCCTTTAGGACATTTTGTATGCTGATGGGTGCCGTGTGTATCGTGGTGGTCTCCCTTGTCACCCATTATGTTTTCGTCAACGAAAAAATCTCACGGAAATACGATTTGCTTCGAATATACCAACTCAGGAGTATAAAACGTCGGTCGAATTTAATAAAAGAGAAAGAAGATATTGATGATAAAGTCGATGATCAAGCCGCTATGCCGTTACAGGAAGGGGGTACAACAATTATGTAATTATTTTTTAAAAATTCCGATGAAAATAAAGTTAGTTGTAGCAGGGATTAAATAATACTCAAATGATACGTTTATCCCAGGATATTCATGAGAATCATACAAGTGGAATGAAGCGAGAAGCAGACAATTTGGAGATCGTAGAAACTAGCATTGTGAAAAAGAAAGTATAAGAATTTAAATCTATTGAAAGTGTATTTTTAAATCTATGCAGCTTGTACTTCTTGTAAATGTTTATCATGATTTATCAACCATCATATTTACATCGTTTTATCAACTCTATAAAGACCGTTCCTTGTATGTAAGTAGCCAAGATTTACATCTGAATTTAAAAATAACCCAGTTCATCTTCTATCGTCATAGTATTACTCACCTCATGAGGGCGAAAATGTAAATCTTACACCGTGAACTATGATTTTTAAACTAAATGATTTAGGTATATTTGCTTTCTTTTAATTACAATTTATCTGTTGGTTTTTATTTCTTTTATCTTTTGTTTCGCTCAAGTTTGAGCCAGTTTTATCTCTAAAATCTACACTCCGCTTCCTCTACCATACATTTTTGCATTTTTTTCGCAATTGTTTTAAAAAAATGCAATTGTATTGTTTTGTTTTATGTAATTTTTGAACAGCTGATTTGTATAAGATTATATGTGGTGCTAGTTATAAGTTATGCTGTAATGTATGAAAAAAAAATATTAAATTCCTACCTAACCGACTTATAAAACTACTCCTCATTCCCCCCCCCCCCCCTCCACTAAGTTACCATCATTTTAATTGTTCACATTTTTTAAATTACATATGAACTAGACATGACATTAAATCTAAACATTTTATTTTTCACATTATATCAATACATTTTAAAACATAACTTATTGTTAAAAAATGCTTTCCTGTATATACAAAATACATTTCTTTCTACAATGTTTTCCGTTGTTTTTCTTTCTATATGTTCATATTGTTGACTTTCATTAAGCATTAATTTTGCTGTATATTAAAATGTTACTTAAATTAGTGTACACGATATGTCCTTCTGTTTGCATTGATTTTATTTGAGTGCACTACATCATCATTTTGTGTTGTGCACTCAACAGACGGCCCGCTGACTTCGATTTTTCTTTCACCTACAAATCTACCCGGATGGTCCAGGAGCCGAACTCTGGACTTCCGGTTGGCAGTCCGTGCTTACTACCACCCGACCACGCCGTCCCCTCTCATGTGTCATTTATTGTGGTTTTTTTTTTATTCTGCTTAATCCACCTCTGTTGACAGGGAAACCTCACGACTTTAAAAAGAAAGCAATCTTAAATAAACTCCAGTACGCTTTTGACTGATAGGCCTGCAACACATTTTCAAAATCGGGTGTGCTGAAGTATCCTGAAGTAAGAGATGTCGTTTGTAGCGTTTGTACAAGAAAAAGTAGTTTCCTTAAAGCTGGAAACTAATGTACAGAGCTTGAAATATATTTCAAGACAAAAGTTCAAAATCTGTTTTCCCATCTTTTACTTTTATACTACATTCGTGTATATTTCGAAACAATTTTAACGTAGTTTTATTTCACCAAGTATTAAAAACGGTAAGACCTACACATTTATTTCACCAGGTATTAAAAACAATAAGACCTACAAATGTATTTCACCAGGTATTAAAAACAACAAGACATAAATGTATTTCACCAGGTATTAAAAACAACAAGACATATAAATGTATTTCACCAGGTATTAAAAACAACAAGACATATAAATGTATTTCACCAGGTATTAAAAACAACAAGACATATAAATGTATTTCACCAAGTATTAAAAACAACAAGACTTACAAATGTATTACACCATGTATTAAACATACGAAGGGCCACAAATTAATTCCGCGTTGTGTTAAATATAGGAAGGCCCATTTTAAGGCGATACTTGAAGCAACAGCCGACAGTATATCTGACTGTTGCTATGTTACTAACATGTGGTTTAAGCAATCGCATAAGGCACATCTGTTGAGGATGGGATAAGGGAGCTGTTCTCATTGTTTCATGTGACTGATTATTCTTTGCTCTAACGGATAACAAGTAAAACTTAGAAAAAAATCAGAAATAAAAGTTACTCAGAAAATTATGACAAAAATAAAAGAAATTGATGGGATTTAGTTATTTATTGAATTAAAAACATTCTACTGTTAAATTTGTTTTTCATATTACGATTTACAAAATCGCATGGTTAATGTGAAGACTCAAGTGAATAAAATCTGTCGGCGCCAATAACTAGGAAATAAAATGAACATTTTTTTTATGTGAAGATTCCTTATTTAGGAAACATTGTTGATGTGAAGATTCCTTAATTAGGAAACATTGATGTGAAGACTCCTTAATTAGGAAACATTGTTGACGAGAGGATTCATTAATTAGGAAACATTGTTGATGAGAAGACTCCTTAATTAGGAAAGATTGAAGTGAAGACTCCTTAATTAGAAAACATTGTTGATGAGAAGACTCCTTAATTAGGAAACATTGATGTGAAGACTCCTTAATTAGGAAACATTGTTGATGAGAAGACTCCTTAATTAGGAAACATTGATGAGAAGACTCCTTAGTTAGGAAACATTGTTGACGAGAAGACTCCTTAATTAGAAAACATTGTTGATGAGAAGACTCCTTAATTAGAAAACATTGTTGATGAGAAGACTCCTTAATTAGGAAACATTGATGTGAAGACTCCTTAATTAGGAAACATTGTTGATGAGAAGACTCCTTAATTAGGAAACATTGATGAGAAGACTCCTTAGTTAGGAAACATTGTTGACGAGAAGACTCCTTAATTAGAAAACATTGTTGATGAGAAGACTCCTTAATTAGGAAACATTGTTGATGAGAGGACTCCTTAATCAGGAAACATTGTTGATGTGAAGACCCCTTAGTCACGTTACTTTTGTTGTTTGGCGCCGAACTCGCCGATGACGTACATGTATTCAACCCAGTGACCTGCGAAAAAACAATTTCATCACATTTTGGTACTTAGAATGGCTTCTTGCTATTAGTGTACGGTGTCATTATGCGGTGATGGTGTATTTCGGTATTTAGAGTGACTTCTCCTTATTAGTCCACGGTGTAATTAACGGGTTTTTTTAAATTTTATTTCGGTGTTTAGAATGACAGCTTTATTTGTATTCCTTGGAGACGCGATCAAACATTCTGATGTTGACTGAAGCAATTACTGTCTAAACCGAAGTCCCGAAATTATTATTTTGGAAACGGCATGTTATAATCGAAATTTTAACACGTTAAGACGGAGTTTATTGTTTTCTTGAAGTATAAGACAAAACATAATTACACTATCACTCATTTCGTGAACACATGAATAAGGCCTATCTGAAATTTCAGCTGTTCGGGTAAGATAGGACAAGTTTATCCCTGGATGTTATTAACATGTGTTAACATTGGTAACAAAAAAATTGTTTAACAAAAAAAAATGTTAACAAAAAACTTACGGAACCAATCGCGGCCTGGGTAAGGGAACCTCGTCTTGACCTTGACCTTGTCCGTGAGGTTTTCGCCCAGTCTCTCCCGCCATCTGCCCGCAGGGGCGATAACCTCCTCCCTGGCAGCAGACGTGAGCAAAATGGTGGGTTTTTTTAATCAGACAGATATTTAATTAATTACTGAAAGAAGTGTGTCCATCCATCCCCAAAGGGAAGGTGAGATAAAGCAAAAAAAAAAAAAACAACGTTTGTGTAAAAAAAAAACGTGTAGTCACTGGGTCGGGTGTCACCCTGTGCTGTAATCAAGGGTGACACCCCCACCCCCTCCAATAATTTTTGTGTTGTAACATCCATTTACCCCAACTATTTTTTTTACTAATGTTACGTTCAGTAAATAAAAAATGGTACCACTTAAAATATCCCACGATCTTTAGTTAAAAAAAAAGCAACCAAACATTCAACTTCCCATATATGATGAAGAAAAGAAGTATCGTTACATAATGGGTGATCTCACCTTTCTTCTGGATGGCGGTATCGATACGGTCTAATTGGTATCAGAACAGGCAGTGGGTCCTTGACCCTCATCTCACGTACTGACCTTATCCAATAAACAAAGGCATATTGAACCGATAACATTTTAAAAGTATAATCAAATATGTGTAAACAAAAACATATTGAATCGATGTTTTAAAAGTATAATAAAATTTGTGAATACTCAGAATACAGAGCTAATCTGATCAGCAATTGTCGCGCAAGGAAATACGTGCAAGACATTTTGTTTATTTTTGTGATGTTATTCAAACTCTTCATTAAATAACGTTAGTTGGACGCATTTGTATCAACTAAAAAAATTTCATAATTTAATAACACCCCCCATATACAGGGCGCCATTATATCACTACAGCGTTACAGTATCACCACTTACTCAGTGTAACAGTATCACCGGTTAATGTTTTCTGTATCACTAATGGTGCTTTAGTATCACCACTACACAGGTGTAAGTGTCACCACTTAACAATTTAATTTTGTTACCAGTCACTCAATGTAAATGTATCACCATTGGTGTATTTGTACCACACTTAACGGGTAAAAATGTCACCACTAACATGGTGTAGTTAAGTCACCATTTATGTATCTACAACGGTGTCACCACTTAAATAGTGAAGTTACGTCACCATTTGTGGATTAACAACTGTATCACCACTTACATAGTGAAATTATGTCACCATCTGTGAATTTACAACTGTATCACCACTTACATAGTGTAGTTATTGAGATAGGTCACCAATGCCGAGTTGCCGCGGGTGAGACGGCTTTACACTACTGACGTCATTCAACGGTCGCTCTACTCCATTACTGCCTGGGTACCTGTATCAGCATACTACATTAGGACCTGCTTGTAATATATACATAGACATAATACAACGGTCGCTCTACTCCATTACTGCCTGGATACCTGTACCAACATACTACATTAGGACCAGCTTGTAATACATACATACATACATACATAGACATAATACAACGGTCGCTCTACTCCATTACTGCCTGGATATCTGTATCAGCATACTACATTAGGATCAGCTTGTAATACATACATAGACATAATACAACGGTCGCTCTACTCCATTACTGCCTTTATACCTGTATCAGCAATCTACATTAGTACCAGCTTGTAATACATACATAGACATAATACATATGTATGTAACATTCACATAGACAGAACAGATACTCTTTTTTTGCCAGGTGATGATTAGAACAGATGAAGTAGAGTTCACCTGTTTCTGTGATCTCGGCATGTGAAGATCAGCACTAAGCCTATCCGCCGTTACTTCTCCTAACGTTTATCAGATCTGTGTGAGTACTCATCACAAATGACCCGAACTATATACATTTGGATTAGCACTTATGAGCTCTATTTCCTGATCACTCCGTCTCATAGACAGAATACTTACTATCTAAAGCTCATTTGTATGTTATGATTTGAGCAGGCTTACATATGTTTAATCAGTGATAACAGTTTCAACAAATAAAAATCGGGTCCGGTGTTTCTTTTAGACTTTTTTCTTGAGGGGGGGGGGGGGGGGGACTTGAAATGTTGGGGGGGGGGGGGCACTGGTAAAAGAATATTTCCATATAAATTCTATTTCTTTCCGGCTGATGTTGGAAAGAAACACTGATCGGGTCCCATTTTCCACTGAAACAGAAATACTTGTCATAATTATAGTAATGAATTATCAAAGCTGCGTTAGACGCAGAATTACTTTCTAGTATACGGTGCTTATATCCACCTTATCACACACGCATGCATAAAGCCAACACATACAGAGTGCTAGCTCAACCCCCCCCCCCAATCGCACACAGTGCTAACACAATCCCCACACTCAAGCAATGCAGTGCTCACACCTCTCCCCTTCCACGCACACAACCCCCCCCCCCCTATGTACCCCACCCCACAAGACCTATCACGAATGAAGAAACTGTCCACGTCAAGTTTATCACGACTTACTCTCGGTTAGCTGCTGTATAGGCGGAATGTCGTAGGTTCAGTTTTGCAACACATGTATGTGGCTGAAATAAACATATATATATATATATATATATATATATATATATATATATATATATATATATATATATATATATATATATATATATATATATATATATATATATATACACTATTCAACAATATCATAATCATTCCTATGGATCCTGTTCCGAGAAAGTGTAAAGTAACACTTCCGGTTACCAGAAATCGATGAAAAGTTTAAAGTCTACGTACACAAACATTAACATCAGAATTCCTGTTGACTGTAGTCAGTCTTGTGGGGCATCGGGATGTAACCCACACCCAGAGGCGTAGCGAGGGGGGGGCGGGGGGTGCGGACCGCACCGGGTGACACCATTTAGGGGGGGGTGACACCAAGGCAAAAAATAGCAAAAAAAACTTGAGGGGGTGCAAATCGAAAGTTTGAGGGGGGTGCAAATCGAAATTTGGAAGTTTGTCCCCGGGAAGGGTCGTTACGCCTCTGGAAAGGGGGGGGGGGGTGACACCATTAAGTGCCGCACCGGGTGACACCCGACCTCGCTACGCCACTGACCACACCTCTCGATCGAACTTGGTTTAGATCTAGATCTATATTTATTTTCTACAAGCTGGCTTCATGACATTCCAGTTGCGTGTACTTCTGTAATCTAATTTTTTAGTCGAATTATCTAAAATTGATCTAAAAATCTACTCTAACAATATTTTCATTTTAGATTATAATTTTTTAAGACCTGCTTACCATGATGGGGATGGAACTCAAGTCAACTTTTAAACTTTTGATAAGTTTTTTTTTTGTGACTATGTGTACATTTCTTAATGAACGGATGAGAACACACATTTGGTGCGTTGTTAAAAATAAATCTTGAATTCAATTTATTCCATGCAAATTATAAGGCACGAAAAAAGTTAAACAAAAACATGAATGAACAAAAACGAAATTTTAAAAATTCAGGAACAAAATAAGTTGATCAAGTCTCATACGCAACGCGCTCAACCCGAAACTTTTTTCACAGTAACAAAAACTGAACTGTGAAACATCTTGTTACCAAGGAACAAAAAAATGTAAACGTTTAAATCTTTGCTGACAAAAATGTTGGTAGAAATAATACACTACCTTGAACATCAAATAATATCTTTTTAAACATTATATTAGAGGTCATCCACTAATATAGTCACACCTTTTTTTTAAAAAAAGATGTCACCCCCCCCCCCCCCCATTCACCTCGTCACAAATAGCCAAACTTCGTTGAACTCGGTATTAATCAATTTCTATCACAAAAACATCGTTTTTATAGGGCAAAATAACGGCTAAAATTCAGTTTTTAACCTTGCTGTTTAAAATGCAAAAGTCACAAATCGTCAATATTCCGACTTCCCAGCCCCCCCCCCCCCCCTCCCCCTCCCCCTCCCTCACCTAAAATTGGCAAGGGATCCATTTTCAGAATTTTCTTGATTCAATTTTTTTTCTGTAACAACTTTCGCAGATCACTCGATGTTTAAAAATATGTAATTGTCTGCAAACACTGTCTATATTTTTACATTGCAAGCAATACACTAATAAATGTTATTATCAGACGTACGAAGATGTATATTCCCGCCACTGATTCAGCGCTGTGTATGTTTTACTAGGTATTCTACACTTCATAGCTTTAAAAGAAAAGCTGTATGTATAAATGAGAATGATGTGTTGACCAATAAACATTGGACAAGATGTCCAACGTAGCTGAAAGCTGTCTAATGTACCGAATTACATAATGATAAAAAAAGCAACAAACAAAACATCAAACAATGTAACACTTGGTTTTTGTATTTTTTTAATGGCATCTATACAACTGATGTTTTGTTATTGTTCGGTTGTACTCATTTTGTTGATAAATGTTGTTTCAGCAATACGGAAGGTCTTGTGTACAAGTTTTAGGTCAGTCAAATATTGATGTTCACCGGACGGTGTTGGGTTTAAAATAGTTGGCTATTTGACTTCTCCCTGTTATAAATTAAGCGAGATGGTGTTCCGGTGTATTAGTCACGGGAGCCATTACATCAGGAGAGTTATCCGGAGTCAACTAGAAATGTCACCCATTACATAAGTGGAGAAGAAATAAACGATGTTACGATAAAAAAATCCCAGGAAAAAATATAAACAACTTTGGTCGCTTGAATTTTGTTCGCTTTTTCTGAAAATAAAAAGAAACAGGTCTTACAAGAAAAAGTGTTTACACTAAACACAACGGGTCTGACTATAAAATAGACATATTATAGTCGATTCACTAGTTTTATGATGAGGAAGCTTAAACGTATAGATCTATCAGGAGGGAGGTTCTGCAAGTAAATTTACAAGGCATTTGTTTGTGGCTGAATTTAAGTGAATGCCGGCTAAAAATCACTGTAATATCTGGATGTTAGGTTTTGAGCGTGGCGTCACAAGGCAGGGGGGGGGGGGGGGGGGTAACGCACGAGTGACACCATTAAGGGGGGACACAACAACGGGAAATCGTAAAATTAATTGTCAAAAGCAAAAGGTTTATTCCGTAACACCAAACAAAAAATTTATTAAAATTGTTGTAGGGATGGTGGAATGGGTGGGCAGACACACTCAGTTTACAGCACCGGTGACACCCCACCTAGCGACGCCACTGCGTGACATTATGTAAAGTTGGTTACCTTGGAACTTTACACTAACTGCATATTAAAATTAAATACCAGGTGTTTAAGAAACAAATTTCAACACACAAAATTTGATAATGTAACTTATTCATTACTTTACATTTCGGCGCCTGGAACTACTTACCTAACTACCCAACATAACTACCTAACCTAATTATATTACCTAACTAGCTAACTACCTACCTAGTTAAAAGAAATGCAGGCGGGGTCTAACATTTCACTCTGAAGAAATCACACGGAGGGAAGTAGAGCCCCAGGTTGGGGTAGGGGATGACATAAGGGGGGCGTGGCCTTTCCTCCAGGTCTGCAGTAGGTGGTGGGGCAGGTGTCATTCACCCAGTTGTAGGGTCGAGGCTTGTCACAGCAGGCAGATCTGGGGGGGGGGGGGGGGAAGACACACAAACACACGTGTTTATACATTTTACTGAAAGAAATGGTCTGGTAAAGCATTGGACTGATAAACAGATTTTTGAAATCGATTCCCAGACTCGTGTCGAAATCCTTTTCAACTAAACTCTAAAGGGTGGAGTGCTGGCCACATTATCGCTTCACATGCCGAGGTCATAGAAACAGGTAATCTCTACTTCATTTGCCCCATGGACTATCAGGTTCTAAAAGTAACAAATATCGCAGTTGTTCAGACAAACAGACGGACCTGTCAAAGAAGTTCCACGGGGTTGCAGAGGTCAACGTGTGTCCAGTACTCAGCCGGGGGGACGGGAAACACAGGTCTGTAGGCTGGGGGGAGGTGAGGCTGGCAGCAGAACAGCTGGGGGGAAGTAGAAGTACGTTTGTCAGTTACATGAGGCGAGGGGGGGTGAGGTGAGGCTGGCAGCAGAACAGCTGGGGGAGTAGAAGTACGTTTGTCAGTTACATGAGGCGGGGGGGGAGGTGAGGCTGGCAGCAGAACAGCTGGGGGAGTAGAAGTGTGTTTGTCAGTTACATGAGGCGGGGGGGGAGGTGAGGCTGGCAGCAGAACAGCTGGGGGGTAGAAGTGTGTTTGTTAGTTACATGAGCCTGGGGGGGGGGGGGGGGGAAGGTGAGGCTGGCAAGCAGAACAGCTGGGGGGTAGAAGTGTTTGTTAGTTACATGAGGCGGGGGGGGAGGTGAGGCTGACAGCAGAACAGCTGGGGGAGTAGAAGTATGTTTGTCACTGTCAGTTACATGAGGGGGGGGGGGGGGTGAGGTGAGGCTGGCAGCAGAACAGCTGGGGGGTAGAAGTGTTTGTTAGTTACATGAGGCGGGGGGGGGGAGGTGAGGCTGGCAGCAGAACAGCTGGGGGGTAGAAGTGTTTGTTAGTTACATGAGGCGGGGGGGGGGAGGTGAGGCTGGCAGCAGAACAGCTGGGGGGTAGAAGTGTGTTTGTTAGTTACATGAGCCTGGGGGGGGGGGGGGGGAAGGTGAGGCTGGCAGCAGAACAGCTGGGGGGTAGAAGTGTTTGTTAGTTACATGAGGCGGGGGGGAAGGTGGAGGCTGGCAGCAGAACAGCTGGGGGGTAGACAGCTGGGGGGTAGAAGTGTTTGTTAGTTACATGAGGCGGGGGGGGAGGTGAGGCTGGCAGCAGAACAGCTGGGGGGAGTAGAAGTGTGTTTGTTAGTTACATGAGGGGGGGGGGGGTGAGGTGAGGCTGACAGCAGAACAGCTGGGGGGTAGAAGTGTGTTTGTTAGTTACATGAGCCTGGGGGGGGGGGGGGAAGGTGAGGCTGACAGCAGAACAGCTGGGGGGTAGAAGTGTTTGTTAGTTACATGAGGCGGGGGGGGAGGTGAGGCTGACAGCAGAACAGCTGGGGGAGTAGAAGTATGTTTGTCACTGTCAGTTACATGAGGGGGGGGGGGGTGAGGTGAGGCTGACAGCAGAACAGCTGGGGAAGTAGAAGTACGTTTGTCAGTTACATGAAGCTAAGGGGGGAGGGGGGTAGAAGTTACATGATAGAGGTTTTACAAGTTACATACTAGTAACGAGAGGCTTGTCAATAACATGCTTAGGTGTGTCAGTAAAAAATTTTGTGTTGCCAATAATAAAGGCGTTGCCTAGGTTTCTCACGCGTGGTTTCATCAAATAAACCCAACAAGTGGCTTACTACAAGACTTCTTCGCAGATTCCCATTATTTTCAGATGGCCTAGCTGTTTGACGAATTTATCATTATTATTTTTCGCAGTACATAGCCTATTCTTTAGTGTCTTAGAATTTAAACTTGAAGTCACTGCCCTTAAATAATTTCAAGAACAAACGAAAAGGAATCTTTATATCTAAACACTTATCATTATTTCTACACGTGACGAGATTAAGGTTATAGAACTATAACCGCGCGGCAAGATTCAGTGCGCTTTGGGTAAATGTCGACTTAAATTAAACTTCTTGCGAACTGTGCTAAATAAACAACATTTTATTGGGTTTGTGTTGTTGGTTTTTTTTTCTCAAAATGTAGGCTTCTCAGTGTGTATCAAAATATAACATTTTATTGTGTTGTTTCTTCAAACATTATTTGTAGACTCCTATGAAAAAAAGAAGAAAAAACATGTAAGATTACAACGTACCCCTTTCTTCTTCTCTCAAAAGCTCTGTTAAATCTCTGTAGCTCTCCTGGTAGCTGAAGTGGTCTGTATATATATATATATATATATATATATATATATATATATATATATATATATATATATATATAGTATATATATATATATAAACTTGAACGTCATTTATTATCAAACTGTATTATAGCAGTCAGTGGCGGAACTAGAAAAAAAGGGCCACCCCGCAAAAAAAAATTTGTAGGCCCCCCCTATATATATATATATATATATATATATATATATATATATATATATATATATATATATATATATATACAAAATACGAACATAGGATACTCATTGCAGGCCTGTTCGGGTTTTAATTAAAAAAAAAAGTTTTTTTAATTAAAACAAATTACAACAACATGCCATGTGTGTAAGTGCATTAGTGTGTTCTGTGAAAATCTGTTTTATTTTATCTCTGATATAAGACCTCTAACCTCTAGTCGGTCAAAAGAATATAAACCATGAAAGCTTTGTATAAGTAATGGTGTCTCGTGTTATGTTTATTTATATATTTTTTTGTATTTATATTATTAATATTAATTACATTTCCTTTTTATACAGTGTCATTCTTTAAGTACTTTATAAAAAAAATAATAATTCAGAGAAATAATTGCTTTTAATTTGTTTAGTACAAATCTATCACAAGGAGCTTATGAGCACCCCTATTTGACTATTTAAAAAAGGGAAATAAGTAATGGAAGTGGCGTGAACGTTTGCTTATCTTTGATAAGTTTGATTGTAGGAGAAAGACGACGGCTTTCAGAGTGGTTTAAAAACAAAGGGAAAGAGAATATACAAGAGCGTGGGGTGGTGTCTATAGAATAAAGATAATCCAACCGCAGCTACGGTAATCTTTTTTACAAAACAACCATCAAGTCAAAAATGCACGAAAATTAATTTTTTTACACAATAAAAAAAAATGATTATGGTCGGCTGTGGGCCCCTAAATGGCGTGCCCCCCCCCCCCCCCCGCATTGCGGGATCTGGCGGCACTGTAGTTCCGCCCCTGATAGCAGTCCTTTTGCATATGTTTACATAAATCGTAAAAAAAGTGATCAATACACCTAAGATTTTACCCAGTTATTATTTGAAAAAAAAATTGCCGTTTTTTTTAAAAATGCAATGGGGGAGGGTTAGTGTGGCGTCACACTAATAGGGAGAGGGGATTCTGGTGTTTTGTAACAGTGAGTGAAAATGAATAGGGTGAGGTCTAAATTGTAAAGGTGTGACGACCTATGACAGGTAAGTTGACACATTTCTAGAAAGTTCAATTCGAACAACTAAAACATGTGAATATAGCGTGTACCCACTCTTTAAATCTGTTGGGCTCGCAGGACCCATCTCCTCGTCGTACTGAGGGTACGAGTACGTCGGGGTCCTGGGTTCGACGCCCGTGTAGTGACACAGGTTGTCATTGTTGCTGATGCCAGTTAGGTGACATTTGTTGACATTTCTCTCAAACTCCACGGTACCTTTACTGGGGCAGATAACTCTGGGTACAGAGATTTAAAAAAATCAACGAAATAAAGTCGATGTAATATACATTGTAACAGTGATTCTGCTAATTAAAAAATACCAGTTAAAACAGCTACAAAACAGTCATTATATTATTTGTGCCATTTATAAGTTCATGTCGATCTGTCTAGATCGATATTTAGCTGTAGCCCCATGAGTATGAGCCATGAGGGACTTGCGGTGGAGATTCGCTGTTTTAAAAATATGGACTTAAAGGCGAAAAAATCATCATTAGTAAAGCTCTTCACTCTACATAACTTTCTCACCTCATGTTGAAAAGATGTTACTGGTACTACTTGTACTGTGCTATTGCTGTGGTGTAAAAAAAAAAACCTTGTCAGTCCATACCCAACACACTTTGACGCGATGTTCAGAAGAGGTGCAGATGGGTGCAAAAAACATCTGACAGCAAATTGGAGGTGGTTCAAAGACTTATCACAGACCAGAACTTCATTTTTAGAGCGAATAGGGAAATCGGTGGGGTAGCCCAGAAATGATTGTAATGTATTTGCCAATGTACAAAACGTCATAGAATTAGACCCCCCCCCCATTGCAATATTTAAGAACATCTTTTCTAAAATAATAATATTAGACCAATATAATATAATAGTTCCCTACATCACACATGGTTCAATGTTTATAACCATTTACAAAATGCTTTAGAAAATTCAGATTCCATTGTAAACAGCCAGAGGTAAGTCACCCCCCCCCCCCCCATACAGCAGCAAACCCTCCCTGAAGAAAGACATAACTTTAGACATGAGTAGTTCTACTCTAAATGTGGCTCGGCTAAAGCCTATTCTAAAATCAGTTATTTTGTAGGACATTTCCTCAGTAGCGTAGCGAGGGGGGGGGGGGGGGGCGGACATATGTCCCCGGGCGCCGAGCTTAGGGGGCGCCAAAATGGGTTGGAAAAATAAATTGAAAGGCTGAGGGGGGTGCAAATTGAAAGTTTGAGGGGGGGGGGGGTGCAAATCAAAATCTCGAGGGGGGGGGGGGGGGGGGGGGTAAATCGAAAAGTTTGTCCCCGGGCGCCGGGAAGGGTCGCTACGCCTCTGCATTTCCTTCCTGTCTGTTAAAAGGCATGTGTTACCCTACTTATTATTCATGTGTGGTCCAATTTCCTCCTTAAACACTTAAAATTGACAAATTAAACATGAAGTTAACTACTCTTCTCCCTTTTTAAAATAAATTTTATCATTAAACCCCCCCCCCCCCCACATAAATGAGATAATTTCAAACAGAAACTTCATCTTAACAGATCTAGTTAATTTTAAATAATCTGGACACATTTCTTTTTAATTTTTTTTTAAATAAAAAAAAAATTAATACAGAATAGTTTTTCTCTCTCCTTTAATTGTATTATGAAAATGTGTATGTTTTTATGACAAGAATTGAGAAAAAACATATAACATGACATTGCCACTTTGGCAAGTAAGAACCAATTTAAATATTTTAATATTGGATGCTAACAATTTATTGAAAACATTTATAATTGACTGGTTTTAAGTGAAGAAGAAATATATCACCCCAAAACTCAAATTAGCAGTTTGCACATTTGAAACAGATAAACATTTTTATAAAACAGCCAATGCTGTAGAAAAAGTCCAAGACACAGAAAAATTTATCTGGCTAAGAGAAGAATGCTAATATCAAGTAGAAGAAAAGCTTAAGTGCCCAGAATAAGCATTCAAATATACTTCATTTCAGCATTCATGTAATTATCTGCCTTACACATCTTGTATTATAATAATATATCTTCCATACACAACATCTTTTATTATAACAATAAATTCTACAATCTAAACCGCACATAACATTACATACAGATCTCGTGATATGCAATTTTTTTAAACGCACCTCACATATCTACATTCTATATCATCCACTATACTCAAACATTTACTCTACACTTGAAAGCATACACTATCTTGTACAATTCTCCAATATTTGTTGTATTAAATAAATATATTTTATAATATAAGCTCTATGTATAAACTCTTATCTTGTACGTATTAATGTTCAAACACAACTAAGAAACACCTAATATTCTCACAAGCTCCAATGAAATAAATACACCACCAAATAAAATCAAGACTTATTGCAAAGAAAAAACCCAAATCCTTACAGCAAAGTGTTAACACCTTGTTTCACATTCCCCAAAGCTTTTCAAGTAAAGATCCATCATTCAGCTCCATCTTTTCTATTTGACTTCAATAGTTTCACTACAATTAAATCTGCGAACTTTTTCAACTCTGTCGTATCACCAGAATAACTTTGCTGCTCAACTGACTGAAATCAGTATTTTTTAAAAATTGAAACGTAACAGAAATTAGTTTCTAGGTTATGTATATATAACTGTCAACTTTAAAATCGAGCTCATATATATTAGCCCATTCTAGTTCCTTTCTCATAATATAACTTAATGAACATATGCTGTCTGAAATCATCCAAATGAAGAAAGGTTATATTAACAAAACAACTTTCAGCATTCAAAATGTGGGAAGACTGTCATCACTCAGAAAAAAAAAACAATCTAAAAAGAACAGTGCTTGATAGCAAAATGTACAATTTTTAAAGTTCACATTGAAAATCTCAAAGTGAAAAAACATATGAACATCAGTTCCTCGAAGTTAATATTTTTTCAGAGTAGGAATAATAAATAAATTTGATATAAAATGCATCCAGAATTTCAGTCCAAGTCTAACGCTTTTTCAATTTTTGATGTGGTTGGTGACTCTGCTGACAAATTACTGCTGTTGCTGTTAAATAAAGCACTGAAGTTATCATGGTTTCTGCTACTACGATTATTGCTTGGTGTACCACTTGGAGTTTCAATAACTTGCTCATCATCGCCCATTGAGCCCCCTAGAACATTCTGAAGGAGATTCCCTAGGTAAATAAGAACAGAAGATTATTAAAAAGAACTTTCATTTAAACAGCTACTTAAAACTACTACTGAGATATTAATTCAGATATCATGCTATCTTTTGACTTTATGTATTGTTTGTAAATAATGTCAAACAATTATAGAAAATGCCCCTCCTCCTTTACCAAATTACTTAGAATTTTGATTTCTTAATTAAGGAGGGGGGTGGACTTGATAAAGTGATCCTAAGCTCCATAATAAAAATAACAATCATTGCAATTCTAACAAAAAAAATATTTTAATCTCCCTCCCTCCCCCAAGAAATACACAAATGATACTGAAAATGTCACAAAAAAAATAAAAAATAATAATCATACTCAAAAGCAATAATCCAACCTCCAATATGTAACCTAAAAAATAACCTACATTAACCCTATACTGTAAGTATGGTTACATACCAAATAAGCCTTGGGGTGTTTTCTGTGGTGGAGGGACACCAAAAAATGTTTGTCCTATTTGATCCAAATACTGAAATAATGTTTCAAACAGTGTAATGCTAAAAATGTTTGAGGTAAAACAACATTTTTAAAAATCAATTTATCAATCAAGAACTTGAAAAATGCAAATATCTTCTCTACAACTTAAACTCTCAACCACTGCAAGTACAACACAATAAAATACTAAATAGATTTTCCAAGTAAAAAATAATCACAAATGAGATTATCCATCAATAAATTAACAAATACTTTTTATATTTGTATAAATTAACAAATGAAAATGTTTATTATTCAATTATTTTTTTCCAAATTTTTGTGTATTGCTATCACTCACCTCTTTGTAGTTTGGGTCCCTGTTTATGGAGACTTGGTATTTCTCACAAAGCACTGTAAACACTGCCAGTTTCCCTCTACAAACAAATAATACCACATAAAAATAATTTTTTTATTCTAGAAGAATTCATAATTGCTTTTTTGTTTTAGTATAAAACTGAGGTAAATTTTTAAAGAATGTTTTTTTTAAAATCTGGAAACGTATTGTTTGTATCACTACCTACCCATCCAATGCAATGAGAAGCATCCATATGAAATTAAGCAGGGGCAAACTATAAGGAGGTGTCTGGCTAATCTCTGGATGTTTCTGTGTGTAGACCTCAAAGCATACACTGGCAGTTGCTTTATTTTGAAGGCACAGATACCTACAAGTAAAATTTTAGCTCATTTGTAAATCACGGTTAATTTCTTTCTTTAAAATATACCAAATTCATCTAATAAAGCACCTCATTTCATTTAATGAAAAAAAAATGACAGATAAAAAAGCAAACACTACATACTGTAAAACTGCTTGGGTTATAAACATGTCAACTTCTGACGGATATCCTTGAGTCCGGTGAAACTCTAACAACATCTGGGCACAGGCTTCTCCATCAGTAGAATGTATGTAATGATATCTAGCTTGGGCATAGTTTCTTTCTGCACAAAAGACAATCAATTTCAAAACTTACTTTTTGCCTTTTTTTTGTTCTATACAAACTTTCCTAGTATTTTTGAAGAAATATTGATTCTACTGAACTATTCAAACTGTAAATAAAGTTGAAGAAAGTTGAACAATGCTATCTAACGTAATCTATCCAATAACTTACCTTGCCAGAATATAATACCAAATCTTCTATGTAGATCAGGATGGCCTCTCTTGTGTTCCTTGTGTACTTTACTTGACCAGTTGATAGCCTTTGTCAAATATGGATACCTCTCTGGACAATCTGGGTCCATGACTTCAAACAATTTTGTAACATTGCCTGAAAGAATATTTTGTTATTTATAGTATACTTAAAAGATAATATTAGCTAATTTTAATTGACTTGAACAGTTCAATAAAACAAGACGGTCTGATCAAATACATACGTTATGTAGCTTACAGTGAAATGTAGCCTACTTACTAATGGTTTCTTCTGTTACTGGTGACTTGGCTTTGTTCAACGATTCTAAGAGGAGAAGGCTTAAATCTGCCCCACTGCTGTGCTATAAATTATAAAAGAAAATGCTGTAAAGAAAGCACCATAATGACATAGAAAAATACTTCCATTCAATTATGGAAAAGCTACTTAATTTTTTGGTGTTTTTTTCTAACTCAAGAGGAGAAAACAATTGGATTTTGAGCTTTATCTACTAAAATACTATCTTACGCTCTCTTAAATTTAATAAATAATTCCTGATGATGTTACCTGGTTGTGTTGTAACAAAATTAAGGCACCTCTATACAATAAATCAGCAGCTTCTGCATACTTTTGTTGACTATTGTATCTGAAATTGAAAAAAAAAAAACAGTAGGACGTGAAAAAATAATAATCACACTAATATTTAGGCTGCACAAAACAGAGATTTTGTTGAGCAGTTTAAAAATATGATTTTTTTAAAATATTAAAATGTGTTTAAAAATATTGAATAGAAATTAGAAATCTAGACGTAAAAAAAAACAGCAACAAAAAATCAGCTCATAGACCTATAGTAAATATTTTATATTTACAAGGATACAGCACTCAATGAGAAAAAAAAAAGTAAAAATAAAGGCCTACAGAAATATTCCAAAAGGTAAAACCCCATTTACAATAGGACAGAGACACTGACCTAAAGTTCTATTAAAAAACTGTACCAAAGGTTAGTCATAAGAAGAGGATTTTTTTTTTTTCAATCGTCACTCAATGTTACAGCCCACAGTGCCATTGACTAGTGACTAGATTGAGATTCTTGGTCTAGATTCTTAATCTTAATTCTTGAACTAAATGTATCTAGATCTAGTATCTAGATTTATAGATCTAAACTAGAATCTAGAAATCTAGATCTACATCTAGACATCTATCTAGATCTAGATCTAGATTCTAGTTAATTTTATTTGACCCAAGCCAAGGATTGGGGAAAAAGGCATTGTCAAGTCAATCACTCACTGTCAGTCAGTGTCAAGTTGTCAACTTTAACTATTTTCACATGGTAAGTTGCAAGATTAAATATAGAGAAAGGTTTAAAAGTTTAAGACGGTTACTTAAGTGGTTTATGAATGTTAAAATGAAGACTATCAATACTTAATAGTTTCATAAATTGTTTAATAATGATTTTGCATCTGTTTCCATGGAAAACATTTTGCTATCGATAATGGGTTACTAAAAGCTTGTTAATAACAAACGAAGAATATTGACCGACTCAATAAATTAGACTAACAAATTAATCTTGTTTACACATATTCACCTAAACGAGACAGTTCTGAACATCTGATGTGCTTCATAGTAATTTCCAGCGTTGATACAAGCTTCACACTTTGCAAGGACACGTTCAACGCCACGCGAAATAGAAGCCATTTTTCTAGAAGTTACCCTGCCCCGAGGTGTTACTTTTTAACGAAACGAATTTAGACCAAACCTACTTTTTTATATGGGGAATTCCCTATCGGCTAGCAGACTAGCTGTCTTGTCCTAGAGAGTAGTTATATTTTAAGTCAAGCAAGACCATACGTTGACCAGATACTCTAGATCTAGATCTAGATAGGCCTACCCGGAATTGAAGTGAATTATTTTTGAACTGCATGTAGATCTACTAGATCTAGATCTAGATTAGATCTAGATCTAGATTAGGACCTAGATCTAGGCCTTATAGCCTAGAAATCTAAATATTTAATTATTTATATTTTTTAGGCCTATGATTGTCATTATTTATTTAAATTTATGTCTACTAAAATAACTATTGTAGTAGTAGTAAGTATTAAGTAATCTATACTAATGACTATACTAAGGCAAGGGGGTCATCCATAAAATTAAATGACGATTTTTACCCCCCCCCCTCCGTCACACATCGTCACAAAAAGCCAGACCCCCCCCCCCAAAAAAAAATGACGTCACACCTCAGCCTACACCCCCCACCCTCAAAACTGATGTTGAATTTTTTTTTTTAAACATTGATGTTTTTTCCAAAATCTAGTCTGAACTCTCTCAAAATAGAGTATTTTAATCAATTCCTAGTACAATTTATTAAAACAGTTTTCTAAAACGCGAAATCAAGCTTAAAATTAGTTTTCAAAGTGTGACGTTGCACCATCTGAATCCCCCCCCCCTATCATCACACACCGTTGCAAAATTACAACCCCCCCCCCTTTCCCTACTAATGTGACGTCATTTAGTCATTTATGGACGACCCCTAATAGTAATAGTATAATAGTATTAATTAGTAGTAGTGTTACTATAATTAAACTATTAATTAATCTAAAATATCTGGAGATAAATTATCAAAGAAAATAACCCATTTCTTCTTTTTTTTTATATTTTATAGTTTTATCATTGGATGTCTAACAGTAACTATTACTATTACATTCTAGATCTATACTATAAAGTATAGATTCTAACAATAGTATATAAGTATATAATATCATAAGGACTATAAAAAAAAAACTTAACTTTCATCAATTTTCTTTTTTAAGCTACTCGTCTAGGTTTAAAGTGTTTGAGACTTCATTAGAATCTTCAAAATGGATGTTGAAAATACAAGGACAATTACAACTGTAGATACAGTATTAAATGCAGATTCTGTGGAATGGTGTCCTCATTTAGGAATGGAAGATGTCCTTCTGTGTGGTACTTATAAGCTTGAGGAATCTATACCAAACAATAAGGTACATGTACATTTGTGTTAGTATAGCCTACTTATTGCCTGCCATTTAGGCTTTTGAAAGATATTAGTTTACTTCCCTTTGTTCAACATTTTAACACCCTTTTCATCCATAGATAAAATACTGGGATAACAGATAAGCAATGTAAAACACCTGTTAGTTTAGATATGTGAAGTAGATTTGATTTGCTTTTGTGACCGGAGTACCATATGTAAAATGGGGTTGTCCATAAATGATGTCACACTTATAGTGGGGAGAGGGTCTGTCATTTTATTACAATGTGCGATAGAAGGGAGGTAAAAATCGCCAAAAAAGCCTGATGTAATTTATGGATGACTCCAAAGAACTTTGTAGACAGCACCATGCCCAATCACTGACTTGAGTATCCAGCTGAGGGGACTCTGGACATCCTATGGACTAGTGCTCAGGAACCAAACACACAATTCTATGGTTGCCATTTAGTTGCTAATTTTAGGAAAGAGTCCTTGAGTTTAATTGGTTGGCCCACCTGAGCTAACTAGGTAAGTTAAGGGGGCTGTATTGTACTTGCCACATTTTTCCACATGTCTCTAAAATATCACTGCCACTTGTACCCCATTTGCTGTTAATTTCTAAAAGGTACCTTATTAATTTTAAAAATGTAATAATTTGGATTAAAATTTATTCCAAACAACAATTAATTTTAAAAGGTCCTTTGTATCTTTTTCAGACAGAAGAGAGTAGTTCTCAGACAGAAGCAAATGAACAAAATGAAGAAGCTGCTAAACAGATCAGACATGGAGGAGTCATAGTTTACAAACTTTTACCAAATGAAGACCTGGGGCTTATAGACTTACAGGAAAATCAAACTTTAAAAATGTGCGGGGTTTTAGATATTAAATGGCTAGAGCATCAAATTGAAGATGAAGCCATCTTTGGTTTAGTGGATGCAGAAGGGAATTTGCAAGTAAGAGAATGTTAACAATAGGTGAATACTAGCAAAAATGTCATGCAAAAGGATTTAGTGGACTTGAGTTATTTTCCTCAAAAAATATTTTTTAAATGATGTATTTTTTGTATTAAAATAAATTTTGTGAACTTTTTCCACTTCTAACAATGTGGCATGACATTTTTAGTTATGAATTTGTTGTGTTTATCAATATCACTTATTATAATGAAACATTTATTGCATTGAATTGTGAACGCTAAAAAAAAAAAAATTTTTCAGCTGTTAAAATTAAACAAAGAACGCATTGCAGAGTTTGTAACGAAAAGCCAGTTAAGTGAATCATCTCTTGGTCTCTCCCTAGGATGGACATATAAAAAGTATTTTAATGTTAAATATATTTGAATAAAGTCTTATCTATAATAAAGTATTTAAATATATTTGAATAAAGTCTTATCTATACTAAAGTATCTATATATATAATTCTCCTCTTCGAGCCGTTAGAAAACAAGCTGCAAACGCTCTCCCTACCTCCCCACCCCTACATGGTTTTAGTGAGCTGTGTTCACTCTAAATGTTTACAAGCAGAGCCAACGATTTTAAACGTAGGGGAGGGGGGGGGGGGAAGGAAGGGGGGGGGTTATGGTCCTTAACGAGCTACTTATAGTGTTTTAAAGAAATATTTTCAGTGTCAGCGTTGGTACTGTCGAATTCACAAATTATGAATTATTGAAAATTAGAAACAACTAAATAGCGGCGTATGTTATGCCGCGGGCCGGCTCGTTTAAATATATTTGAATAAAGTCTTATCTACAATAAAGTATTTAAATTTTAAATATATTTACATAAAGTCTTATCCCTAATTTGAACAGTACTTGAAGTTTGAAAAACTTAACATCTAACACCATTTTCTGATTATTTTATTTTTAATGTCAGATTTCTAAATATGGCGCTACTTTTTGCTTTTTATTCTTCAGTTCCAGCCCTTGTGTTGCTGCCTCAGACTCATCTGGTAGTGTAACAGTTTTTGATGCTAGTAAAAACCTCAGTGTTGTCTCTCAATGGAAGGCTCATGATTATGAAGCTTGGATTACAGCATTTAATAGATACAATCCAAATATTGTTTATTCAGGTACATAGAGACTTAATGTTAGGGAATACATGATTAAAATATGCAACAATAACCATTCTGAAGAATATCTACTTTATAAACTCCAGAAGATTAGATTTGTTATAATAACTCTGTAGAATACTTTAGTTTTTTAGTTTCTGGTTATTAATGTATCTAATTAGTAAATTCATGGTTTTGTTTTCATCCTTAAATATTGGGTTGGTTGTGTATTTTGTAGGGGGAGACGACTGCAAATTTAAGATGTGGGATCTGAGAGACATTTCACAACCAACATTATGTAGCACACGGTAGGACTAGCATTTGCTCAGTGTCACTTTTTAGCATCACCCATCACTGATTCTAATGTCTGAAAAAAAAGACACAAATATAACATTTTAACCCTTTGAGCCCGCCAGGCCGGTAAACCGGCTTTAACATTAGGCATATATGTCCGAAAAGCCGGTTTACCGGCCTGATGATCTAGCGTCATATTTCTAGCGGCCGGTATACCGTCTAATTAAATATAATTAGCGGAAGACTGAATAAAACTGCGCATGTGTCTTTTGAGTGCGGAATTATGATTTTAAAAATAGATTTTTAGGAAAAATGAAAGTATTTACATTCCGTAGTAATGCCGCCGAAACGAAAAGCTGAGCCACAACCGTCGGCTTCATCACATAAAGTTGGTGCAAACGATAAGCAAAAGGCCGAAATATCAACAAAAGAAGTAGAATGACTGCATCTCAGGCAATACAACTACTTATCGATTCTGATGATGAAGATAATATTCCTGGTCTTTATTGTGATGATAGTGACGTTGAATTTGAGACTGAACACAGTGACATTGAAATTGACAGTGACAATGAAACTGTTCAAGTACGTTCTGATGCACATAGTGCCAATAACAAAGACTTGCCGAAACGAAAAAAAAATGTTTACTGATGCAAAACATGCAAAGTTTTTCTTTGCATCGGGTCCGGCAGTGATAACTGTTTTGAAAGTTATCACACAAAAGTGGACTTCAGGCGATCAACTAGTATGGCCAGGTATCAATAATAACAAAACAATTACTAAACGTAAATTGGTTTCTTCTATGTTTTATCAAAACGATAATTATTTGTTCGTTTTATATACATGGTTCTGTTCAAACATTGTAAACAAAAAAGAATTTTAGAATCTATCTGCAGTGTTGTTTGATCCTGAGTCTGGATACCAAATTTGGCTTGATTATCTCAAACGGTTCAAAAGTTATAGGCAAAGTTAGATGCAGATAAGTGAAAAATGGTTTGGCCATGGGAGCTCAGGAAATGGGAGAAATTAGGCCAGGGAGGCCAGGGCTCAAAGGGTTAAATATTTTTTCGTTCCTACAACAATCATTAATCTATTATTTAAATTTTAATTAACCATCTACAAATATTCAGGCACAAAATGGGTGTATGCAGTGTTCAGGACCATCCTTTTAATGAACACATTACAGCAACTGGAAGGTAAGATTGAGAAAAATTGTTTATGTTGTTATTTTATTCAATGCTAAACTTTTTGCCTGATCTTTACTTACTGTAAAAATATCTTATATTAATTATTATTAAAAATCATCTATGGCTCTAAACATTCTTTTTATTACAAAGTGCTCATTAAATTATTATTATTATAGATTTAGTATTGTTCAATAAATTATTATTATAATCATAGATTGCGTATTGCTGACAAAACATTAGTTTTTATAGAAATGTAAGGTATGACTAAAATAATAATAATTCTATTTAGTAGCACATATTTTACCTCTTTTTTTCACTTCCACCTCAACTCTCACAATGCTAACATTTAATTTTTTAATTTCAGTTATGATGAAGAGCTCATCATTTGGGACCACAGACACATGAAGCAGCCAATCTGTAGCGTGACCCTTAATGGTGGAATTTGGAGGATCAAGTGGGATCCATTTAAAGGGGACAAAATCCTGACAGCAACTATGTACAATGGAGCACACATAGTGGACTGCACTGATTTAGGTAAAGTTCACAAAGGTCAAAATGTTTCACATAGTAATTCTGTTTGTTTGTTTATATTTATTTAGTTCATTGTTTGAAACTTGGATTTATAAGAAGATAAATGAATAATATACTCTAATTGAGTCTAATAAACTATATATTAATTCTTATTTTTATGTGTGTTTAAAAAACCTGAGTTTTGCACCCACAGGAAAGGGGACATTGCCTATTGCAGCTCATTACAATCATCACAATCTTGCTTATGGTGCAGACTGGTATAGGATGAATTGGAATAGAGATTTAAGGGGAGAAAAATCTTCCAAGACCAGCTCTAATTCAATGCTTATTTCTACATGTTCATTTTATGATCAATCATTACACTTATGGGAATGGAAATATCAATAAACTTATATAAAATAACTAATTACATTTTTTTTTAATTGTTAAAACTAAAAATTGAATTTGTTGAGTTAATTTTTTTTTATCTGAGTAGGCCTAAATAAAATTTTCTTTAAAAAATATTTAATAGAGTAATAAGACAGTTTAGTTGTCCACTTGTTCGTGTTTGTAAGCCATATAAAATTATGTTAAGGAGCAATGTTTTCATCCAAAGCAACATGAGAAATCAGAATCGAGTGTTAAGGGCCAAAATAGCCTTTCACTTGCAATGAATAGGTAGCTGTCTTATATCTTCTAGCTTGGAAGCCAGGTGAAGTATCATCAACATGCAATGGTGTATTTGATGGAGGGGACAGATGTGGAGGGGGGGGGGGGGGGGGTAGCTGTTCTAACTCCCAAAGGAACACAAAAACTACACAGGGCATTTGTGCACACATAAGTGTCCATGACAGGTTATATGTCTAAATACTAAAACTAATTGGGTTCCAAATTTGCCATTAGTTACTACCCAGGCATGAAAAATAAACAACATCCATTATCCCAGCACACACAGGTTTCAAGGAGTATATAAAATGTGAGGTATCACTTTTAAATTATTTTTAATTCAAATTGTTTCATAAAAAAGCAACAAGGACAATAATTTATTGAAACAGTGTCAGTTTTTCTCTCCTTATCACAAGAATTAGTTTATCACAACTCACATCCACTTGATCAACAATACCTCTTTGTTAAAGAACCCACTGAAGCCCTTCCCTCTGTTAGGTACACATTTGAACTGAATCAAATAATGGACATCTTTAAAAACAAATTTAACTTGCAGATCAAGTACTCTTTGAATTTATATGACAAAACCTTTCCATGAGTCTCTTGGTTAGGTCTTGATACACTTTTTTTCTAGTTAGATACACTCCATGGAAGTTTAACTACCAACTTTAAAAATCTCTACATTATAAAAATACATGTAGAAAAATTGTTTAACAAAGGCAATTGTACTTAAAATCTATCTGGCACATTAGAACTGTTTTAATATCTTCCAAGGTTAATATATAATCATTGCCAGCATAGGTACCTGAAGTTACTGTATAACGCCAACACATCCTGTAAATAGATCTTATTGATATTCTAATAATTTAAAAAAATAACTGAATTTTTCAACAATATATACCTAGATCACAGAGGAAGTAAGGGGGAGTAAACATGGATGGTCATTTTTCAATAATAAGGCAGATTGTGAGTTAAAGAAAAGATGCACCTGTCTTGCATAGACCGAGTAATAATTGCAAAGGGTGAAACAATGTATGCAAAAGCATAAAATAACTATAAAATTGCAATATTTAACAAGAAGAAATATGGTTTAAATTGAACTGAACTTCAATTTTCACTCAACTGTCATTCATTTTAAAAAATCTAAATGAATGATTAATAAACAAAGAAATCTGCAACGTTTTCTAATGCTGCTATCACAAAATCTAATTGAAGAATAAGGAATCATTGAAATTTGCAACATAAAGAATTTAAAATATCCACTGGAAAATTATGTGCGGGCAATGCGTTCACATTCAGTTAGACAATCTCTGACAAGAATTCTTGCATGGACTATACTTCGTTTCAACCTCTCTGATGAGCCCCTGTTGCCTGCATAAGTTGGTCTAATGTCTCTTCCCATGTCCTCTATAAGGGTCAGGAGAGATGAGTATTTACTTTGGTTTTGTGTCTGCTGCGAAGGTGCTGATGCTGCTTGTGACAAGCTCCTAAAAGGTTGAGTCTGTGTCTGCTGTGCCACTACTGGAACAGTACCCCGAGCATCTGTTTGAGGAGGTCCTGAATTATCTTTGGTCAGCATTGCATGGACAGAGCTCTTCTCATTGTCTGTGATCATTGTGACAGGGAGAAACTAAAAAGACAAAATGTGAATTAACAACCATCATTGGTTTCAGTTATTTGGTTTAGAAATACAGGAAGGGGGAGTTAACTTTAACCAAATAATGTAACAATCTTAATTCATAATGAATGAAAATTATCTTTTTAGTATAGACCTAAATCTTAATCATCGGATATTTTTCATAACAATCTCTTATCTAACACAGGCAGTAAATTTGTTCTAATCTATTATATTATTAAGTTGTAAATTTGTAATTAGGTTAGGAGTTGTATCTGAACATTCTTGGTGGTAAGACACAAAAATATTTATCCCAATGAGTTTTATTACTGACCTGTTTCGCTGGATCAAATGTTTTATCTTTGAGTATAGGCTCATCAAAACTGGAATAAAAATATGCTTAGAATAGAAAAAAGTTGCTTAAAATGTTTTGCTTAAAAACAGAAATATATGAATCCAACCACAATCATATTCATACTATTAAAATTCTCAGCCAATACTGATAAAAACTATACAAGCTAGCTTTTTTTGACAAAGTTATCCATTAGCAAGTTATTTAAAAATGGCAACTTGTTAATTACCCTGTATAAAATGATAGGTGTAATTTTATCTAGTTTTATGTTTTTCAAAATCATTTTTCTACTTTTTTTTCTTATCACTTTTTTACACTTTACAGGCATAATCAGCTAATTAGCCCGGAAGACTGCAACAGTATGAAGTATCAAGCAGTCAGTGTTTCTTCTCGACTTTTTTCTGAGGGGGGCACTTGAAATTTTCAGGGGGGGGGGGGGGGGGCGGTGGTAGACTTTCTTTGGGGGACGGAGGACACTTGTTAAAAGTATATATTTTCTATTTTCTATATAAATTCAATTTCTTGGGGGGGGGGGCGGTAGACTTTTTTTGGGCTTTGACCCCCTGTCCCCCAAAGAGATGACTGGAAGAGACTCTGCAAGCATTTCTCTTGCAAATGTTGCTAGCCAGACCCATGGGTTTCTGCCAGGCTTTTGCTTCCTCCCCTTGTGCATCACATCACCTGATTTGGACATGAGGGGCAGTTTGGTCGAAGAACAACTTACCATCTTGAACCCAGGTAACGAACTCATGACTTCCACTCCAGGTTAGCGAGCTAATGTATTTCTGCTAGACCACAACGCTTCTTGGTCTGGTCACTATGATGTGGCAATACTCATGCTCATTATAAAGGAATAATTAGCTTTCACCCAAAGTCATACCTTTTTCTTTTGCTTGTTTCTGGTAAATTAAATTTTGTAGGCACAGCTCCAGTTTTCAAGAATCTACGATCTGTATCAATGAGATAAGAAAATAAATTAAATGTCAAATTGAACATAGAATCTAGTAAACTGTAATAGTATGAACATACATTTAGTTTTTTTAAGTTGACAAATGTAATTGTAAACTATAGGCCTAAGTACTAAGTAGATCTATTAATTTTTTTTTTAATATGTATTAAATTATTTTTGGATTTTATAATAGAACACTAATAGTTAGTAAAAATAATTATGCCTTCGCCTGTCCTTAGAAAAAAAAATCTAGATCTAGATCTAGACCTAGATCTACATGACATCTAGAATCTCTGACTTGACTTGATCTCAACTCTCAAGTCTGGCCTAGATCTAGATTTCTAGGCCTAGCAACAAGGAGAACTAAGTTTCTAGCTAGAAATCTAGACTAGAATCTAGATTCTAGATAGATCTAGATCTAAAATCTAGTCATAATATTTATTCTAGATTCTAGTCTAGATCAGATCTAGAGATCTAGATTTTTTCTAGAGTCTAGATCTAGATTCTAGTCTAGATTTAAAAATTAAAATAGTATAGACTATATACTATAGATCTAAAACTATTAGATCTAGATCTAGATCTGGATCTAGATTTTTTTCTAGATTAGATCTAGAGTCTAGATTCTAGATATAGATAGAAGATCTAGATCTAGATCTAATCTAGAGGCCAGATGTAAAATGATTTTCAACCAACTGCCAGTGCATGTAGAATCTAGATTTTCTAAATTGGGGGAAAAACTTACGCGTGAAAGGTTGATATGTAAAACAATCTTCTTCAAAGTGCTCGGAGCAAACGACAATGTGTTCATTGATTGCTACATTTTTCCTTTTCATATTTGCAGCCCATTCATTGCAAAGGTTGGGGTTCTTTATGGGAAATTTGTGGAAACTGATATTTCTTTCTTTTGATTCTGGTTTATTATCGCAATTAGTGCAACCAACAGCAGAACATTGCTTCCCCATTGTTAGATCTAGTCGATCTAGAAACTAGATCTAGTATTAGCACTAAGTTCAAGTAGCCACTAAAATCATAACCAAAAAGAGGTCACGAAAATACGCATGTTACGGACATCACGTGACGTATATTTAACCCTACTACAAGCAGAGTTTCTTCCAGGCATCTCTCCGGGAGGGCAAAGCGAAATTTTTTTACCGCCGACCCGAACGAAATGAAATTTATATAATTTCTATAGAAAATATATACTTTTAACAGTGTCCGCCCCCCCCCCCCCCCCCGAAGAAAGTTTACCGCCCCCCCCCCCCGAAGATTTCAAGTGCCCCTCCCCCCGGAGAAAAAAGTCTGGAAGAAACACTGACTACAAGTACATCCAGATCTATAGTTTCTAGCTACTCATAGTTTACCTTATGTATTACAGGCCTAGACTGTGTTAGGTAGGTAACAATGAGTTAGGGGTCGCCCAGAAACAACGTCACATTTCTAGAGGTTCAAATTTGGTGTCAATGTGAAATGTAACGTTAACGTGACTGTCACAAAAGGGTGTGGAGGGGGGGGGGTAGGAAATGTGACCATCCACTTGCATATTATTAAAATATAAGGTTAGAAACTGAATTTTAGCAGCTACTATTTCGCGTACTTTGAAAGACTTTTTGTAAGTTGTAGAAATAGGGGTCATCCATAAATGACGTCACGCTTTTTTGACGATTTTTACCTCCCCCCCCTCCCCTCCGTCACACGTCGTCACAAAAAGTCAGACTCCCCCCTAAAATGACGTCACACCTCAACCTACAACCCCCCTCAAAATTGCAGTTGAATTTTTTTTAAACATCGATATTTTTCTAAAATCTTGTCTAAACTATTACAATTTATTAAAACAGTTATCTAAAACGCGGAATAACGTCTAAAATTCGTTTTCTAACATTGCTTTTTTATAATGCAAAAGTGTGACGTCGCAACATCTGAAACCCCCACCCCCTCCCCCTCATCACACATCGTCGCAAAATTACGGGCCCCCCTCCCCCCTACGAGTGTGACGTCATTTATGGATGACCCCCATATCTGTTTTTAAAAACTACTAGCTATATAATTTTAAGAGGAAGGGAAGGGGTTTGATTGAGATGTGACGTCATTTTAAATGAGGGAGGTCTGGTTTTTTTTGTGACGACGGGGAAGCTGGGAGGTAGAAATCGTCACAAAAAAGCTTGATGTGGTTTATTGATAGTGGCCTTTACTTCAGATGCATTTTTAGCGCAATTTCCATTCTGGAGAATTGCGTTTATTAACCCGTCATTTCTGGATGTATGAATGGATGTGTGTCCGCAGCTTTAAGTCGTATCTCCTCCTCAAACGAAGCAATATCGAGGACTAGTTCCAAAGCAGTTATGTTAAGCAAGTTACGAGGATGAACATAGGCCAAAAAAATTCCGGGTTTCTTTCATGGATTTCCCGGAAAAGCCAAAAAACATAAAAAAAATGCAGTTTTTGGCCCATATCTCGGCAACCAGACCACTTAGCGACTTGAAACATGTACCAATCGATTCCTGCCATAATTTAGACAATATTGCCGAAGAAAGTTTTCAAAAATATCCTTTCGTTCGGTCACAAATTTTTTTTTGAATTAATTAAAATTTGGACCGAATTAGTAGGCATATTTATCCAACCACACCACACGCGTCATCACGTTCAATAGCTGCGCCATCACGTTCAATGGCTGCGTCATCACGTTCAGTAGCTAGGCGCGCAGTTGTTTTTACAAGCTTTTATTTAACTCACTTCCTCTGTCTGTCTGTCTAGATCGAAACGGCAAAGCGAAAATTCGGACACTTCTACTTGACCGATACGATTCACACTTGGCACGTGGGTCAAGACATGAAGACAATGCAATCTGAAATTAAATTTGACTTAATTGGATGCCTAATTAATTTTTTATGAATTAATTAAAATTTGACCGAATTAGTAGGCATGTCTATCCAACCACACCACACGCGTCATCACGTTCAATAGCTGCGCCATCACGTTCAATGGCTGCGCCATCACGTTCAGTAGGCGCGCAATGGTTTTTTGTCATGTAACTCTATTGTAAATTAAACATGTAAAGTACTGAAAAAAAATTCATAAAAAACGTTTTAATAACAAGCTTTTATGTAATAATGCACTAAAAAGTAGAAAATAAATTATAGACTACTATTTAAATAACTATAAAGAAAAGCGTGGGTGTCTTCCTTAACATTAGTAAAGGTATCCAATATATACTAAAGTGACCCACGCTTTTCTTTATAGTTATTTAAATAGTAGTCTATAATTTATTTTCTACTTTTTAGTGCGTTATTACATAAAAGCTTGTTATTAAAACGTTTTTTAAATGATTTTTTTACCTCCTCCTCTTGTAGGCGTAGGCCTACTGTCATAAAAATTAACTGGGGCAACATGTATATTTATTTTTTGTTAAGCGCGACAACTCTTGTATACTGTCGACAGCATCATCCAAGCTTGGTTACTTCCCCTTAAGAGAGGATTATAATCTAATATATAAAGCTCAATTCTGTAACGCATATGTTTGTCGTTGGCATTTCTACGGATTTAAGTGTTAGATCAATTATCGTGCGCAGTTGTCTAAATTTATGAGTTAAAAAATTACTATTAAAAGTGTTGGGAAATCATTTTCATTTTTCAAATTATAGTAATAATTGTCGGCATGTTCATTAAACACAAGTTTTAAAAAAATATCATCTTTTACAAAAATTCTAATTATGTTTTTATTTAGTCCTATAGCGCTTACTTCCCTTTGATAAATTAGGCAAAACACAATTACTTCCCTTTATGAAACCATTGCATTAGTTGAAAAGCATTTACTTTTTAATTACTTTGTTTTGGTGTTGGGAAAAAAATAATTACATAATTAGCGGGAATTGATCAAGTGCAAATGTTGTAGGTATTTTACGGATAAGCTTGGAGTATTATAATTGTTCATTAAATTGAAACAGGCGCGTTCGTTTAAGTGAGTGCAAAAACTATGAATAAGTTGGGGTACTATAGTCGTTTATTAAGCTAAAACAGGCGATTCTGCCCCGGGCGTTTATGTTCGCGTTAGTGTTTTCTTTGTGTTTAGGTGGGTTTGCGTTAGTGGTTGCGTTTTGATTTGGTTCGTTTTTGTTCTTTCTTTTTTCGTTTTTGTTTGTGTTTTTTTTTTGTTTGGGTTTGTATTTGTGTTTTTGGTTGGTTTTGCGTTTGGATTTGGTTTGTTTTCGTTCTTTCTTTTTTCGTTTTTGTTTGTGTTTTTTTGTTTGGGTTTGTATTTGTGTTTTTGGTTGGTTTTGCGTTTGGATTTGGTTTGTTTTCGTTTGCTTTTTCGTTTTTTTTTTTGTTTTTTTTTTTGTTGGTATTGGTGTTTGTGGTTGGGTTTGTTGTTAGGTTTTTGTTTTCGTTTGCTTTTTTGTTTGTTTTTTCTTTGTGTTTGTATTGGTGTTTGTGGTTGTGGTTGGGTTTGTTGTTAGGTTTTTGTTTTCGTTTGTATTTGTAATTGTGTTAGCGTTATGTTTGCGTTTTGTTGTTTTGGTTGGTTGTGGTTTGGGTGGGCAATGCCGGGTTTATGATGATTACTAAACACACAGGTAATGGTCGTTAACAGAAAGGTTTTTCACAGAAGCCAGAGCAGGGCCTGGCCGGGACGGCTAGTATCTGAATATGTGACTATTTGATGAGGGTATGTCATGCCCCCCCCCCTACACGGACAATACAGAACACAATATTAAAATCAAATATGAAATAAATAATTTAATCATCGTCCACCCACACTAAGGTAAATGGATGGAGTGAGTGGTGTGTGTGGAGGGGGGAGGGGGGGGGTGACTATGAAGTAAAAACAATCGGTAAAATAAGCTTCCTCGTTAGAGGCATCTTATTTATTTAATAAAATAACATCAAGTTTCAAAGACTAGTTCTCTTTTTTCAATATTGTTTGAACGTATGGGAAAAAATTCTACCTTCCTTTTAAAACATATTAAAGAAATAATACATAAATAATTAATCTTTCTCGTAACTTGTTTTAAAAATGTAATACAACATCACATAACTTCCAGCGCGTTTCAATTATTGAAACGCGCTGGAAGTTATGTGATGTTGTATTACATTTTTAAAACAAGTTACGAGAAAGATTTCAGAATTATACCCTATGTACTTCACAATGTCGAGGGATGCTTTAGTGATACAGAACATAGTTTTAAAAAGTTCTAAGCTTGTTACCAAATATATACTGATATATGTGTATGTTGTCTGGTGACTACAGTTAGATCGGTTGTGTGATGACGGAGTTTTGTGTGTACGTGAAAGTGCTACGTGTAAACAATGTGTAGTGAGATTGTCTGACATTCGTGTATGTTCGATGGGTGGGTGTAGGACAGTGTCTAGTGCAAGGTTAACAAGTGCTCATGTGTTTTGACATGTGGGTGGCTGAGCTAGTGTTCAGGGGACGAACAATGAGAGATGGGAAAAGGGAAACAACTGGTGACACGGACTATGGAGGGAGGGGGGTGTGAAGGAGAATAGATTAAACTTAACACGCATGTCAAAACCTATGACATGGTGTGTTCAACAGCTATTTTACTTTTTATTTTTGATATGGGAAATTTCTTAACGTGTGTTGGCTATTGAAAAGACTTCACAAGATAAACTAGCTCAACTGTATCGCTTTGCTGTTTTTGGTAGACATATTGAATTGTGTAAGTTGGCTGGATTCTGTTGTTCATTCTGTGTGTGTAGATTCTGTGTGGGGATTATGATTTGTTCGTGGGATCAGCAAGGACTGTTTATTTCTGGACATTGCTTCTATGTAATTAATAGGACCCATCACCAAAAAAACCAACAACAGAGGAAACACCAACAAGGCTCCATCAATAAAAGGCCCGATCAACTAGAGGAACAATAAGCTAGAGGACCCATCAGCTAGTGTACCCATCAGCTAGAGGCTCCATCAGCTAGATCAACAAGATAATCAAACACAATGAAAATCAGTAAGTGCGTAGCGGGCGTGTATATGTATACAGTAAACAAAAACAAAATATTATAAACAAACTATCACAAACC